CGGTGGGAGGACCAAATTTTAGGAGGGGCTTCGGTTGCTTCCACTTCTTTACCACAAAACAGCAAGCAATAAGACCTAAACAGTACTGATTCTTCTATAGTCACGGTGAGCCACGGCATTTTGAGAACCATTCAAACGAGAAAAGTCACCTTTGTCTTCAATCTCTTTGTTCTAAGTTTGATTGTTCTGGATGAAAAAGTTGCCTTAAAAGTGGTTTGACGTGATTTAAAACTTGTTAAACATTAGTGGCACAAACAAAAACATGCACACACAGCACTTCAAACATATTCCGTCTAATAACTGAATAAGGCGTGTAGTCGCGGAAAGTAGAACACACCAAACAAAGATTCAATGAGCAAATAGTTATCTGTGTCACTGGGGGAAAGTATGTTCAAAACCTTCACCCCATTGTCAGGGCTAGGAGAGTGTGAGCCCTCAGTACAGTGTTATTTTTTCCAGTCTTCTACCTTTTAACAAAAAGAGTTTCATTACGGAATGGGCTCATCCTTTGCTGAGCCCTAAAGAAATTTGATTGGCTGTTAGGTTACTATAGTTGAAAGCGCTGACAACTGTGATTCGATAAACGAGCAAGCCGCCAAGTCGATCACTTTGTGTTCATTGCAAGGGATCATACTGGTTTCAACTGCTTATTTCGTTATTTAAGAAACTTTCATTTGCTTTGGGATAGAGTTGGGGGTTTTTTGGGGGGGAGCTCAAGCCCCTGAGCCCTTCACTACTTCACTACCCACCGCCACTGGTTGGGGGGGGGGGGGGAGGTTATGCCACTGGTAAACAGAGTGCTACTTCCTCCCTATCCATACATTAAGGGCGCGCGACCATTAAAATGCTGATGTGCATCTTGTACTTAAATATAAATAATTCATATACACAGTGCAGCCTGTCTATAATAACGACCTTCGATATAACAACATCTTCTGTATAGTGACATGGTGCCTAGGTCCCGATTTTTTCCTTATATTATATATCATTAGTAACTTTTGGTTGCTCTTTATAATAACAATTCTCTATAACGACATTTTTGTCTGGTCCGGACGATGTCGCTATCAAGAGGCTGCAATGCATATGTGGGTTAAAAAATATAAACTCAAACAGGTAGGTTAATTTACCTTTAATTAGATAGCCAATACAATTTGAATATATTAGTTCAATTTTGAAAAATTAGTATGGAAGAATACCAAAAAAATTATGAGATTTAATTTTTCCACAACTGTTACAGAGCATCTAAACAGCAAAAAAAAAACCATACACACAGCAGATATATGGCCTATATCTTAACTGAGAGTTTTACGGCCCTTGCAACACAATTCGAAGGTGAGAGGTGTTATAATATAAGAGAGTAACTAGCACAAGAACGACAGGTGTTTGTGTACATATATGTGTATTATATATACATATATATCAGTCAAAAACAACTCACAAAGAGAATCTTCAAACTGAGCCCATCAAGAACACAACAGAATTAGAATTACCCTGCATTCAGGAGATTTACAAAACAAACCAAAAAAAACAGCAAAAAAAATTATAGAGTGTCTGTTTACCATTAATGGCTGCCACTGTGGGAACTGGGAAGATAAGGATCTTCTTTAGGAGTTGAAAAAGCTTCTGAAAGAACCTCTTGCCATCCTCTGGGGAGGAAGATTTCATAAACTCCAGGTCTAACCCATTAGAAAAAAACTTTCCCCCTCCAGTGGTAATTACACCAGTGCAGGACTCGTTTCTGAAAAAAAAAATTTTTTTTTAATGTAAAAGAATGGTGGGATATTAAACTTTTTCCGTGCCAAACCAAGATCTGTCATCACTGTAATGCTAAATTTTAACACCAGAACTCATACGTGAGGCAGCGTGGTGAAATCAGGCGCTCGTCAAAATAATGAAATCAAAGAAACAGGCATTTTTCTGCCAGTTAGGAAATTGTCATCCAACTCGTATTTTTTGGCTTAATTTTTTTTATGTCCATATAAAAACACATTTCCATGTGAATTCTACCGAAAAACATTGATTAAAGGGACAAAATATGTCATTATTCAGTTTTCAAAGACTCTTTAGCTATTGAAGTTACCAAACTTTGGCGGACATTTTCTTGATAATTTAACCACTGTGAAATCAGGCCACCTCATTTACTTCAATTGCAGATATCTTGAGTTTAATCCAAGATATTTGGATATTTCTTTTTAAATCAAAAGCAAGACAAATGAACAAGCTTTAAGATGATACCAATAACTCCAAAAGCCCAAAAATTGACGAGGGCCAGATTCCACCACGTCGCAACACATATGTACTTTTTTATTTTTTACATTTGTCTAGATTTTGGTCTTGTTTACTTTTATGATAAAAAAGCAGGTGACTCACCTCTCCCAACACCACCTTTTAGCTGTAGTTCTAGTAAGAGTTTTACAGCACTTGCAACACAATAAGGTCATATAAGTGCTGAAGATGAGAGGTGTTACAAAAGAGTAACAAACACAAAAAAGAAGGAGGAAAGATCAGGATGATAGATGTTCGGTAGAAGAGAAGGAGCAAACCACACCAGAGCACCCGCCAACCACCCACGAACACCACCTATTCAGGTCAAGTTACACAAGCAAGGAAACTCCTCTGGCGTGGAGATGGTTAAAAGTGAAGCCATTTTTCTATATATAAAATGAACAATGAAGCAGCAAAAAACCTTAAAGCAAAACCTTATTGAGTGATACGCAGCATCAGGACATTTGAGATTTGCAGATGAGAATCTTGAGAGTACACAATGTTAGGTCAAGCAAGTTGGGCGGAAAAGCTTTTTCTTCGTATGCATCTTGGATTTGGAATTCCTTCCCAAAAGGAATATGTTTTACGGCCTGAGAGAGAGAGAGAGAGAGAGAGAGAGACAGGAAGACAGACAGACTGACAGAGAGAGAGAGAGTGTGTGTTTTTAAAAGTTTTAAGAAGTATTTCTTCATCCTTGGCCTCTACTCATAGTTTTCGTATGTAGAGAATGTGGATCTGATCTGTGAATTGTGTGTGGTGTGTGAAAGCAGGGTGTGAGAGTGTGTGTGTGCGTGTGCGTGTGTGTGTGCGTGTGTCTGTGTGCATGCTTGCATGTTGGTGTGGATCAGGAAAACTAACACCTCTGATTCTACACAATGAAAAAAAAAAAGAAAAAAAGAAACAAACCCACATGTTTACCTGACTGCATCATCCAGCAGTGAGCTGAGATCATCCATGAGGGCAATGTTCAGTCTGTTCTCCCCCCTGTTCATCATGATGACAGCCACACTGTCTACGTAGTGAAGAGACAAGCCATTGATCTCTCTCACTGGCTTATTCAGCTGCGGTACGTTCATACTTGTAATGTCCACAAAACGCTGAGAAAAACACAGGGATCAGAAGAAGAATAATCATGATATATATATAATCATAATAATAATCATAACAATTAATAATAATAATACTAATATTACAATATAATGTAATAATAATAATAATTAATAATATAATAATAATTAATTATCATCATCATAATCAGAATCCACTTTTAACGAGTCCTGAAATAACAAGAAGTCTGTTGTAAAGAAACTATTCTAAAACCACCTTTTTTACCTTCTTTATCTTTGAAAAAAAATATTGATAGTGCAATTGAAAAAACACGCAAGTTGAATTATAGCTGACTATTGCTGCTGGTGTGCACAGGGCATAGGCCAATACATAACACGTAAAACCTCGCTAGTTGAGAAACTTGTTGGTGATCTAGCGAAACAAAGAATGGGAGAGCCCATCTGCACCAGCATTGAAGGCTGGAAGGAATGAGTGGGGAGGGCGTGGCATGAACAGACAAGCAGAACGCATCACGTGATAGGCCTAGGCCAGCCTAGTCTAGATTATCTAGGCCTACCGGCTACCATTACCATGCCTCTCACTTGTTCTCAGATGCGGGGACGGAGAGGTCACAGTGCTGTGATGGATGGAGCAAATGTGTGACATGGGCAGGGTGTGTTTTGTACCCAGTCTGGGCTCTGGGCAAGAAAACGGAACGCACTACAGGTTGTGGTGGGGTGGAGGACAACACAGCGGGCAAGTTAGAGAAATAAACAGAACACCAAACTCATAGATTAGGCCTACTTTATTATTTCCCTTTATTATTTATTATTGGATCCCTTAAAACGTGAATCTTGTTATAACGAATTTTTTTGCACCAGTCCCCTCCCTCTTGCTATTTAGCAGGATTCCACAGTATTATGTTATTTAAAATTATAATAATAACAATAACAATAACAATAACAATAATAATAATAATAATAAAAATAATGATATTTATATAATAATAATAATAATAGATATCATTTGTATAGCACAAATCCCCGCTCAACAGCAAGCTCTACGCACTTCACAATCTATACTATTACCCAAGCAGACCTAAGAACATTCTGAAACAACCTCAACTTCCTGGGAAGCATACAGTGCAAGCAGCCATAGGCTCTAAAACACTAACATACTGACAAAAGTTTTGGCTGTCTATGGCCGGGTACCCATTCCCACCTGGGTGAAGTGAGGAAAATTCGTGTTAGTGCCTTTCCCAGGCAAGACACAACGTCCACCCCACTGCTTGACCCACCGAACCCACAAACTCATAATTACGGGTCCCGTAACTTAACCACTAGGCCATCGACGCCACATATAACACAGTAGTTTTTGTATATATTGAGAATGTGTGTGCGGTGTGGGTCTTTAATTTAGTTTGGTAAAAGTCTTACGGCACTCGCAAAATAACTACATCAAGGTCATGTAGGTCTGTGAATTGTGTGTGTGAAGAAATGCCCTTTACAATTTTACTATCCCCCCAGCAGATTCTCGAACATGACTTAGCAAAGGGGGGAGGGAAGCAGGGCGAGATTCAAGATCAATCCGAGAGAGTTGAGAGACAGATAGAGATGGACAGATTTAACAAACATGGGAGGAAAGAGACAAATTTTTTGTGCCACAGTAAAAAATGGAAACCAAAAAATAAATCCCAAACAAAATGAACACTGCTCAGGAGTAAAAAGACAACTTAAAAGCAAAACAAACAACACTAACACACTACCTGATTGAATGACCAAACAACAGGTTTCACTTCAAGACGAGTGTGTTTTATTTTTAATTTTGAGAAAAAGGGCAAAAGCCAAGAACAAATATTTGATCCAATTATATTGTGCATTCATCAAAGCCCTTTTGCTCTGGATCAGTCCTCTAAAAATCTTCTCAAGCCACCATAATCTGAAGTTTAAATTTACAAAGTTAAAGCTATTTAGCATTTAGCGTGACGGGTCACCGAAAAGGATAGGGCATCTGCAGCAGTCGATCTGTAGCCATTCGATCACACTGATATGAAGTGGTAGTGCGATTATCTCTTCAAAATTCCAGGTTGAAAATCATAGATATATACAGGCCAGGGTACATAAAATGGTAGTTGTTTACTTTCTCATGTTTAATTACGGGGGATGACTTCCGTAACAAGCGACCACTCTGAACTCTATTACAATACTCAATGGCAATCAAAATCAGTACGGAAGGCCTAAAGCCATTAAGTTAGGCCTACTCTAGATCTAGAATCTAGGTCTCTACCTACAAATTATGATGAAATTGCCGTGGTTTACGCATTCTTAACTCCAGCGCAAAGTTTTGAATATCCAGTCGATCTTGGCGCAGCTGGAATAAAAAGCGAGAAAGTAAACAATTGGCATAAAATATTATTTATAAGTAACTATTGGAAAAATATAGTAAATTCAAAGACAGGAGAAAGAGTTGGCTAAAACTGCACCTGGACTCTATCTAGATCTAGACATGGACGCTGGTGCCTCTATAAATTATAAATAGGCGCCTAATTGATGGCCAGGTCAGGTTATGCCTTCCAACCCAGGCCTCTCTCTAGACCTAGATCTGCACATCCAATTTTTTAAATACATTTTATGTTAGATCTAGATTATATAACTCATTAACTGTGAATATTACGGTAACCGGGCACCTAGTCTCAGTACCTACGTACACAGTAACCGGAATGAAAATAAATCAATATAATTTGTTCTGTGCTGTCACTTGCTGAAAAAAAAAGTCATACAAGCGTCTCGGCTCGCCATCGTGACCCGTCAGTGAACCTGAGGGGGTGCATTACATTGTGAGTACTGGTTGGGGTCACCAAAGTTCATTCAAAATCTGTGAGCTGCGAAGTATAGGGCTCCGGAATGGGGGGATTATTGATTTTTTTTAACGAAGCGTCTACTTCTCCGAACATTCGGGAAAATAACTTGAACTTTAATTCTCCCAACAGTTTCCGCTCTCAAAATTTTTTTGTTAATTGAGAGATTTAGGCGTCATCTTTCATTTTGCCATTCTGCGAGGACTCGGAAAAAGTTTTGGGTTTTTTTTGCATCGAATTCAAATTCTAGAGCTAGAGATTTTTAAATGTCTGAACATTTAGATACTTCAGTAGTAATTTGGGCACATTCCCGGACTATACCGGGTACTTCATTTGAAAATGCTTCAAAAAGTACCGCGAGAAAACAAGACTGATAGACCTTGGCAGTAACCTATTTTGCATTTAGTTACCCAGCAAAAACTATAATCCTTATATGAAAACAAAATAAATCCTTCCACCCCCCCCCACCCCCCTCGCCCCATTCACGCCTCACACACACACGCATACATATATTTATATATGCACACTCATACACACACACACACGCGCGCGCGCGCGCGCGCGCACGCACACTCACTCACAGACACACACACACTAGCACACTCACTCACACACACACACCCACACACACACAAACGCATGGGCCACTTCATTCGCAAATAACCAAAAAATCTAGAGAACGGATGCCGTTCAGAGAAATAGAGTTCAAGTTTATTTTCTCGAGCGTTTGGAGAAACGAAGTGATTATTCGGACTCGAGTCCGAATATGAAAAAATGTTATTCGGACTCTGATTCTTGTCCAGCATGACATCACTTCCGACTTCCTGTGACTCGTGAATCCGGCTTCCTGTCCTGCCTCACTCGTGACTCGCCTCAGGCTGGGTAGAGACCGGGATCACTTCGGGCAAAAAGGCGTTTTGTGCAGGAGCCGAGTTTTAATCTTATGATGAATTTGAGGCCGGCCTGAAAAGTTAGAGCGCTTCTAATAAATGTTTATTAGTCAAGAGGTCATCAGAAGCAATTAAAGAAGGCTCGTTAGCGTGTGTCGGGGTCGGATGGGCGGCCTGCACACGTGTGGCTGTGTGCGTGTCGGGGAGGGTGGTGGGGGGCACTATCGGTCCGGGCTTTGAAAGTCGCATACGCGTCAGTCTTTTTCCCCCCGGCAACTGATCATTATTACAATAACAAGCTAGTCTTGACGTAGATCTACGTAATGAATTGTGCGCTGGTCTAAGGAATCAAAAGTTGCCGTATGCTCAGCTCTACACAGCAACACAATTTTTTCTTGGTAAACAATCGATATGACACAGGCTAGTGTATTTGAACGAATCAGTCTTTTTTTTTTTTTACACAGCTCATAATATGCAGGTGCCAGGTGGTCTGCTAATCTTCAATTTTACCTTTTTCTACAACAAAGAAAGTGGGAAACGTGGGGGGGGGGGGCGTATCAATGAGGCGGCGGGCATTGGATCGGCAGATAAGGTGTGAGGGAAACTAAAAAATGGCGGAAAATTGGAAGCACTGAACGTTAGATCTATAGAACGAAGACACATCCTTTTTTCCAGACCCGAGTCCGAATAACATTTTTTCATATTCGGCGGACACGAGTCCGAATAAGAAATTTTTTTATTCGGACTCGAGTCCAAATATGAAAAAATGTTATTCGGACTCAAGTCCGAATAACGACGGCCTTGGAGAAATAGAGCCGACCTTTTTTTTAAAGGTACAGTAGGGGGAGGGGTGGGGTGAAGGCAACACCGGATGAACTTGGAATTCTGGACTGCCCGGTTACCGTGTACGTGACACTGAGACTAGATCTAGGTGCCCGGTTGCCGTGTACATGGACACTCCGACATCTCGGTATTGTTATATATATTATATATTTTGCCATGTCTTCATTTTATCTGTTCCAACAGCACAGCCTAGATCTATACCTTCTAGAATCTAGATCACCTACCTGTTAGGGGACATGAACAACACATCTGCAGTACTGTAATCTGCAAGATAAAACCGTTCGGTGTTCGCTCTCTGTTTCCCTTTACTTTTCACTCTCTCTCAAGTTTCAAGGGTCACTTCAGTCACTCAGTCGCTCAGCAAATCTTCGAACTTTGGTCTTTGAACTTTGCTTTTCCATACCTTGAATTGCGTTGAATCTAGTTTAAGCAGTTTTGTTTCTGTTTATGTTTTAATTTTATATTCGTAAACAACTTTTCACCTATTATCATTAATAATAATTAGGCTTACAGGCATACGTCTGTCTGTGCTTAATTAATATGATCAAAGGGTTGTGATATAATTTTATCGTCTATTATGACCTCATTGGCAATTGTGCTAACTACTAACTATAACATCATCATCATCATTGCCTTTCTCACCCTGCACCAGGGTATAGGCCACGGACAAACACGTCCACTTTTCTCTATCCTGGGCTAGCCTCTTGAACTATAACATGCATATGTACTTAATTCAAATGTGGTTGGGTCGTCGGGTGTTTTTTTTTTGGGGGGGGGGTCTTTTTTTGTTGTTGCTATTATGTACATGTATATATGTTACTCACATTGTACATTATATTTTGCCTCATAGCTCACCTATCCCCCACCCCGGATATTTTTTGTTACATATATGTGTTCAGACCCACTGACCTAAAGCTATATTATCTTTTTAGGTCAGTGGTTCAGACCACGTTCTTCCACCTGTGAACAGAGCATCTACAGCTCAACTTCATATGTCCTTTGTGTGGCTGAGCAGATGACCTGTTTGCCCTCTGGCAGACTCATCGAAGCATGGTGGTAGGAGCAGTGAAATACATGTACTCATCATCATCATCATCATCATCATCATCATCATCATCATCATCATCATCATCATCATCATCATCATCATCATCATCATCATTGCCTTTCTCACCCTGCACCAGTAAAGCCACGGACAAACACTTTCCAGATACCTCTATTCTTATTCCTGGGCTAGCCTCTTGACGTTATTCCATGTTTTCCCACTTTTCTGTACATCAATTTCTGTGATTCTTCTCCGAGTTCTACGTGGTCTTCCTCTTGATCTTTACCCTGTGGATTCTCATACAACACTTTCTTTTTTATGCAGCTATCTGATTTCCTTAGAGTTGAGTGTCCAATCCATCGCCACCGCCTCCTTAAATTCCTACCTCATCTTCTGACTGGGATCTGTCTAATTGTTTTCACATGTACTACATCATGTAGATCTTAGTCTTATATTAAATGAAGACCTCAAGACGTTCAACAATTGCCGTCAAGTGAAAACTTGAAATAAATTGCGTTTTGATCATTTTCTTCCTCCAGCTATATACATAAAATCGATCATTTGGAAATCCAAGCATTTAATCCATTGAAACTATCAATAAAGAAGAAAGAATTGAGAAAAGAGGCAGAAACAAAGATAAAACGTAAAGTCCCTGTCACAATAGATAGAATTATAATATTGACCATAAAACGTTCTCATATTTCATGACAGTACATTGTATTATTATAGGCTATTATGTTATTTTACTATGAAAGCGGTTGCCCATCCAGCCAAGTTCTACAACCCAGTCGTCATAGAGTAGCGCATGAGCTTTTGTTGTTAGAGATCAGAACATGTACTTTGACTGGTGCATTGATTGTAGACACCCCTCACTGTATCATCATTATCCAGTGCCTATTGCCGACTGGCGTGGGCGATCATGGACCTCCCACTAGGTCTTGCGTTGCAGCCATGGTGTGTAATTGTTCTTGCTGCTCCTAGCCATGTTGTCATCTTGTCCAGTATCTTTTCCCTCTGTCTGCCTCTGCTTCTCTTTCCATCAAACTTGCCTGTTGCTACACTATTCTCATGTGCTTCTTTCCGCATTGTGTGTCCGACGAAATTTGCCTGTCGCTTTCTTATATTTGTCTTAAGCTGTCTTCTGCAATTTGCTTCAATCAAGACTTCTTCATTTGTTTTTCTAGCTCCCATGGGATACGTAGCATGCGTCTTATGAACCACAACTCTGTCGCCACAACTGTTCTTTCCAGCTGTTTATTGATTGTCCATGCTTCGCACCCGTATAATAGGATTGGCTCCATATGTAACTTTTCAGTACTCTTTTTCTCGTTTCCAGTGACAGATTGATGTTTGTGAGTATCTGTTTCATTTTGTGGAAGGTTGCTTTTGCTTGGCAAATGCGGCTTTTAATTTCGGTGTGACATCTCTCGTCTGATGATATAATATTGGTCCCCAAATATTCAAAATGTTGTACTTGTTTGAGGGTAGTATCATTGATTTTGATTTTATTCATTTTGTGTCGATCCACGACGTTCTTGGGAAAGAATACAGCAGTGGTTCCCCCTTGCCTTCTGCTGGATTTTTTGTACGGTTTACTCCGCTAGCCTTTGTCCAAAAGGTATTTCCCACACGGCAGTGGGGGCAGGTGGCAGGTTTCGGCGCCTCCCTCTCGTCTCACAGTCTCTTTACTGAGCACATGAGGCATTTTATAGAGACAGGGTTGCCACCACCCTGTCCCACCTCGCTCTCAAAGACTGTCGCCAGTTGGTCCGCGACTGCTTTATTGGTTATTCGCAGCTACCCTTCATAATGTAGGCCGTTCCACTATCCGCCACCTGTGGACGCGGTCGGTCGAGGATGGTCGCCCCAGCTTTACCCAACCTTACTGTATACACAACTGGTATTTCACAACTCCTTCCGTTTACCCACAATGTTGATCAACTTCATTGGGCGCGCAGAAAATTACAATTAATGTCAAATGTGGCAACAACGACAAGAGCAAAAAGGATGAAGACAAAGAGTAGAACACGGAGAAGATAGATGGGAGTGGAGGAGAGAGAGGAGAGGAGAAGGAGGGAATGGAGGAGAAGGAGGCAGAAGGAGAAGAGAAGGGATGGTAAGGAGAAAAAGAAGAATAGAGAAGTAGGGAGGGGAGAAGGGTGAGGAGGCTTACTTTACTTTTATCCGCCGCTTATACCTTTTTGGAGGTCGCGGGTGTCGGTGAGGAGGCAAAGGGAGAAAAGAAAGGGGTAGAGGAGGAGGAGAGAGAGGAAAGGAGGCAGAAGGGGAGAGGAGGAGGAGAGAGAGGAAAGGAGGCAGAAGGGGAGAGGAGAAGATGGGGGTGGAGAAGCCTTATGGAGAAAGAAGAGAAGGACGGAGAGGAGAAAAATGAGGAAGAGAAGGAGGGAGAGACAAAGAAGGCAAAGAAGGAGGCCGTAATCTATGTTGTATTAGGAAATGGGTGGGGCACTATTGCGAAGATTTTCGATTCCATATTCGGCACATTCATGGTTCATCTTCTTTTTCTCATGTCCCTGCTGGAGCTCAGGGAGTTATTGACTGTAAGATCTTCATCTCACTGTGCATTTGATTTTTATGTAGATTGACATAATGTTTTATCAACTGTACACACAACATAGAATCACCCCTTGCATGACAGGAAGACACATACTTCTGACAGGCAGACACATACTTTTTTCAAAAGTACTCTTAATTTTAATATCTATGTAAATTGACAAGAGTGGCTTTAGTTGTTTTGAAAGATCGGATTAATTTTGTGAACTTTTGCCTAGACAGTAGCCCAGACGGCCTACTCTTTTTTTATTTTAGAACCGCCACTGGATGTATCTAATGTGCGGAACGTCTACACAAATGCCAGATTCAACCTAAACTATAATAGGACCAGACGATGTAGAAAACATGAGAGAAATAGCTGACTTGTCAGGCAAACACTATTGTCCCCCTCCCATAAGTTATAACCCACAATACATAAAAGAAAACAGTTTTCACTAGTCAGTTATTTTCTTCACAAGGTGTATGCTTTTATTAAAATTCCATATATTTTTAATATGTAACAACACATACGTAGATTAATATCTGAACAAAAGTGTTTGATGAGTAGCACAAATTCTTGAATTTAATATAAAAGCTACAGACACTGTTCTTTTTTATAGACACACATAAATTCGTGCGCACACACACACACACACACACACACACACACACACACACACACACACTCACACACACATACACACACACAATCAAAAAAACACTCACATACATATCAAATCTCAAGCTGTGTGAAATGTATCATAGCCAGCTTAATTTAGTGTAGAAATAAAAAAATCAAATAAAGCTACAAAGGCTCTAAGGACAGATGCACAACGAAAGGAGCAGGTCACAATAGAAGGAAATGCACTAGAAGACGTTGAATCTTTCTGCAATCCTGGTAGTATAATTGACAGAGAAGGAGGAACAGGTGCTGAAATAAAGTCCCGCATTGGAAAAGCACAGGCTGCTTTTATATCTTTGGATAGGATTTGGAAGACACTGATCTCACTTCAAACGAAGCTGAGGATTTGCAACTCAAATGAGAAGTCAGTCCTCTTGTATTGGTGTGAGGCACGGAACGCATCACAGACTTGCATAAAGAGGATCCAGGTTTTCTTGAACAAGTGTCAAAGGAAGTTACTGAGGATCAGATGGACAGACAGGGTCACCAACCAGGAAGTGTTAAGGAAAACAAGACAGATCCCAGTCAGAGATGAGGTAGGAAGAAGGCAGTGGCGAAGGATTGAAATACTCTCAGGAAGTCAGGCAGCTGCATAACAAAGAAAGTTTTGGATTGGAATCCACAGGGTAAAAGATCAAGGGGAAGACCGCGTGGAACCTGGAGAAGAAGCACAGAAATCGATGTACAGAAAAGTGGAAAGACATGGAATAACATCAAGAGGCTATCCCAGTATAGAGAAAGGTGGAAAGTGTTTGTCCGTGGCCTATACCCTGGTGCAGGGTGAGAAAGGCAATGATGATGATGAAAGCTACAAATAATATTATATCGCGGTGAAATCAGGCGCTCGTCAAAATAATGAAAATCGAAGAAATTGACATGTTTTTGTACCATTGGGCAATTTTTTTCTTCTTTTCTTTTTATGGCTCAACACCTTTTATATCCATTCAAAAACACATTTTTGTGCGGATTTTACTGAAAGCATTGATTAAAGGCACACAAAAAAGGAAATTTTCAGTGTTTGAGGACTCTCAGTCTATAGAAGTTTCCTAACTTTGGCGGCAATTTTCTAGCTAATTTTACCTATGAAACCAGGCGACTCTGATCTCCTTCAATCGCAAATATTTGGACTCCTATTCAGCATAGATGGATCTTTTTTTACAAAACGGAAGGCAAATGAGCAGGCTTTAAGATGATATGAATAACCCCATAAGATCTATTATGCCCAAAAATTGAGGAGCGCCTGACTCCACCACGTTGTGACACATAAATATATAAACCTCCTTTGTAGGAGACGGTAATTCTGAAGGCTTTTACAAGTGGAGCCTCAAATTAGCATAAATCTTAACTAGAAAAGAGTAGGGAGAGACAAATCAAATAATTAATTTGTTCCCACTCTGGCAAAACAACAAAACAGCTCAAAATGTCATGCCCGCGTTGTAACTTGCCACATTAAAATGCTCCTCTTGACTAGAGCTTCGACTTGGGAGTGTTGGAGTAATTTTCAATTTCCTTGTCAAAACTCTGTAAAACGACTTCATACACATCAGTTTTCATGTTTGTTAGGCTGTCTCGAGGCATACCCTGCTTCCCGTGGAATCTCTTAATCATCTTTGATGATTCTTTAACTAGCAGCGACTCCGATATACAAGCGTGCACCATGCCTGCATCGAAAGCCTCTTGTCCAGTGAAACGGTGTCCCAAAACGACAGCCGTGTGCAAGTTCTTGCCCATTCCTAGTTTTTCTCTGAGAACAGAAAATTTGGAAAAATGAGTAATTGTAGTAATAACGCAAGGATCGAAAGCCTTTAGTCCTTCTGTATGTATATATATATATGTGAACGATTTTTTGTTTGTGTGTGTGTATTAGTGTGTGTAGGCCTATGTGTGTGTGTGTGTGTGTTTGTGTGTATGTGTGTTTGCGTAGGTGTGTTAATATGTAAGTATGTGTGCAGGTGTGTTTGTGTAGGTGCGTTTGCGTAAGTATGAAGTGTAGGTATGTTTTTGTGAAGGTTTGGGAAAGAGAGAGAGAGAGAGAGAGAGAGAGAGAGAGAGAGAGAGAGAGAGAGAGAGAGATGGACAGCAGACAGACAGACAGACAGACAGACAGACAGACAGACAGACAGACAGACAGACAGACAGGCAGACAGACAGACAGACAGACAGAGAAAGGGAACATATACAAATTTGAATTCCTTTCTATACATGACATGAGCCTCAGTTTTATCTCTTTATTTCACACCAATTGACTCACATTAAGATCTTCTTAAAATCGTAGCCTTAATGTATAAGATATTATGTCTAAAAATCCATCTGACTATCGTTATGAACAGAACTCCAGCTGCTTTAACAAAAGTCAAAATTAGAGTCTAAATTAAAACATTAAAAAAGTAATTAGTATTATTAAATAAAAGCACTAGATCTATTTAAAAAAAGGAATTCAGCTTAGAGAAAAGTAAGGAACCTAAATTTCTCCCACAAAAGAAACAAAGGTTAAACAAAATCATACCTACAGACATTCAGATACTTAAAAACACATATATATATATAATATATTGAAATTAATAAGTGTTTTAACAAAAACTCACAAGAAGCATGCACAATAAAAAAGAAAGAATCATGCCTTACATACTTGTAATACTACATTATATGATGTACCTTAACATTACAAGCATCGGTTTCCGAAAGCGGTAATTGAGATGCACTTCATTAAAGCAGATCCACCCCCTGCCAGCGTCCTTCATTGTCCGGAGGTCATGGGCAAATGCTATAAAAGCCCCACCAGCAAAGCAGTGACCTGAACAAGACAAAAGGGATGAACAACAAATAATGATTATAACCTGCAACATTTCTTTTTCTAGATCATGATTCTAACAGAAAAAAGAAACCGTGATCATTGTTCACCATTTACTCCTTAGCTCGCACGCTCTTTAAAAAAAAGGTATGTTGTTGTTGTTAGCAATCCAGTAGCATCTGAGCGTTAACTCTTCTGCATGATGCCATTCTGTAATACCTGCCATGTCTATTTTAATTGTTGTCTTGAGGAGTAGAGACAGTTAGATGTGAGGGGTAGCTTGGGAAGAAAACATCCCCTCAAATCGGTTAGTTCTCTACAGAAGAAGAGATGATGTACCAATGTCTCTGAGGGGTAGTCACATACTGGGCAGGTAGCAGACTGCTTTACTCCTATTCGGTTGAGATGTAGATTGAGGAGCACATGTTGTGTTTTAAGTTGGAAGATTATGGATTGATCTCCCCTCCTCAACTCATTGATTGGATCTTTGACCATTGGTTTATTCATGTGGCCATACATCATCCTTCCTGTCATGCCTGTGGCCCATGTGTGTTCATCCAGTCTTCATTGAGGTTTGACTTGATCATTTGGCAGCAGGTGGTGTAATCAGTAAGAATATCAGGCTGAGGGAGGCTAGCTTCTTTCTTTGCCTGGGTATCAGCTCTTTCATTTCCCGGTATCCCAGTGTGAGCAGGAATCCACTGCTGTAGGACCACCCTGATATGGGGCCTACTTATCAAATTATGTAGACTCCAAATAAAGTGTGATATATCTTTGTTCACATCAGTCCCACTGTCAAGTGTCTCTAGAGCTGAAAGGCTGTCTGTAAAGATAACAATGTCTGTGGTAGCAAGTGGGTTAGTGTTAAACAAGTAGTTGATGTAGTTTGCTATGTTGGTGATAGCCTGTTGTTCGGCAATGAAGTAGGAGCTGAAGGACCCGCTGGAATTAGACTTCCTTTTTGATCCCATTGGGCAAGTTGATCACTGACCCATATCCAGCATTGATTGTCGCCTTAAAGGCAGATCCATCAGTGTATAAGTGGATCCGTATTGGTGGATAGAAATCAATTGTTTCAAGTGCAAAATGTTTTAGTGCAACAGGATATGTGTTTTTATAGCTCTTATCCAAAAGTGTTTTCCTAATTTCTGGCTTTGCTATGGTGAGATGTGGAAGGAGAGATGAGCGGACTCTTTCCAGAGGTTCTCGTCTTTCAAGGAGGTGATGTTTTTCTTGGAGCTTGAGGACAGTGTCAAGTACAGATTTAGTATTTTTTAGTCTTTGATTAGGTTTCCACTTGTCAAAAAGAATTCGATTTGGGTGGTTATTTTCTAGCCTTTTAAAACTTTCATACACTTCTAAAGCTGCCCGTATTCTTTGACTTTCTAACGGCTCAATATTTGTGTGGATTTCACAGGCCGTTGTCGATGAGGATCTCATTCTGCCCAAGATAAGACGAAGAGCTTCGTTTTGGATGGTGTCCATAGAGTTCTTTGTAGTTTTACTGCAAATGTTTTGTAGAACAAGATTATAATTTTAAAAAACAGCTCTAAATAGAGGCCTCTCAAGGTGTTCTTGTCTGATCCCCAGTTGGTAATAGCTGGTCGTTTGATCAGAGTAAGTCTCTTTATAGCCTTCTTCCTGAGGTTGTTGGTGTGCTTTTTCAAGTTAAGCTTACTGGCAAGTTGTACTCCAAGATACACTGGATTTTATTCTCTTTTTTCAAGTTGGTACCATCTATTTTGAGAAGGATTTCTGCATTTGCAAGTTTATAGCTTCTTGTAAAAACAGAATAGACAGTTTTTTCGCAATTTATTTTCATCTTCCATTTATAAACGACAATAGGTCCCTTGGGAATTTAGATCATCTTGTAGTCTTCATCTGCTTATTGTTGTTGAGTCTCCAGTGTGCTAAAGGAACAGGTCATCAGCAAAAAGGGATTTTTCTGCTTTGAGAACATCGGAAGAAACATCATTGAGGAAGACAAGGAATAAGGTACAGCTGATAAAAGATCCCCGCAGGAATCCTTCCTCAAGCACTGCTTTCGAAGATAGGGTTTCATTCATCTGGGTCAGGATAAGTCTACCTGTAAGGAATTATTTAATCCAGGAGTTCATATTTCCCTTGATTCCCATGTTTTGCAGTTTTAAGAGTAGTCCTTTCCTCCACACTCTATCATAGGCTAGTTGGAGATACACAAACACAGCCGTTGTCTGTTCCCCTCTTTGAAATCCATCAATGATTTTCTATGTAAGCCTGAAGAGCTGGTCTTCGGTCCTGCCTTTTGACCTGAACCCTGCTTGACACTGGGAGATCAGACCTGAAGACTCAAGCTACCAATAAAGAAGAGAATTTAAGATTTTTTCACTTTCACAGAACTTGCCAATACAAGACGTGAGTAATATTGGACGGTAGTTTTTAGGGTCATTTGCCTTCTTTATTTTTTTTTAGATTGGAAATTTATAGTAGCTAGTTTCCATGCTTCAGGTTGATATATATTCCCTCAGTTCATGTTCTTTTGTATAGAGCTTAAGAAGTAGCAATTTGGCTTTTTGACCAAGGTTTTTTAGCATCTCATTGTGTACTTTATCAGGACCTGGGCTTTTTCACTTCTTCAGTTTCTTGATTGCACAGTCCAACTCTCATTTAGTTAAGAAGTCCTGGAAGAAACTCAGTGTCATCAAATCTCTCCCTTTTTCTTTCAGAACGCTCAGTAGACCCCTGTCCAGGCCATTCTTTTTGCTGCTTTTGTTAATTGAGGCAAAATCATAGTTGTAGGGTTCAGCTTTTTTTTAACTCGCTGGTGAGAACTTCGGTTTCTGAAATTGAGCCCCTCAAACTTCTGACTCTGTGTCCAGGCTTCCAGCTTAGATTCCTTGGTAACAAGTTTAGCCTCTGCTATAGCCTTTTTGTATTTAATTTTCTTGTCCATTTTTGTTAACTTTCTCATATTCATGTCTTGCATCATTTTTAGTTCTTGCAGCTTTCTCCAAGCACTCATTCCAAAAGGGTTTATAGCAGCATCTAAGATGGCGGAGGTGAGTTCACCATTAAGGGCGTCTATACTTTTATTGTCTAGATCATCCAGTTTAACGGTGCCCTCAACTGTTTTTCTGAAGAGATCCTAGTTTGCCTTCTTGAAGTTCCAACGGGTTCTTCTTTTCCTTTGTCAGCATTTCAATTGATTTTGGTGACAACGAGACAATGGTCACTAAAACATTCTAGCACCTCTTCACTGCAGTAGTTGTGTAGATCAGCAGAGACCAGGTCGAGATCTGGTCTGTGGTTCCATGTCTCCTATGAAGAAGTGTTTCAGTTGAATTCTCATCTTGGAAAAGGATAAGGTTAAAGGATTGACATAGTTCTTCAATCCTCTTACCCATTTTGTTTTGGTCAGCATAGCCCCAAAGGGGGGAGTGTCCATTAAGGTCACCAGCTATGACCGTCTTCTTAAAGATAGTACTCTGTTCCAGAAAGTTCAGAGTGCTGCTGGGGGGACAATAGATGTTGTAAAGTATGAGCTTGCTGTTGCCATACCAAAGGGGGACTTTATGTGCGTCTGTGGGGTGCCAATATTAAGGAGCTCTACTTCACTCTGGACGTCATTTCTGATATCGGTTATAATCCCTTGGCAACCTTCACACTTGCATGGATATGGGATATACTCAGAGATGTGTATGTTATAGGATGAATGGAGAGTTTCCTGTAATAGAGCAGTGTGGATTTTCCTTTCATACAAAATTTTCTCCTCTTGTGTTTTTTTTTCTTTTCCAAGCCACAGACATTTGCTTGAAGAATATAGAAGTCTATAACTTTCTCTTTTCCATTACCAGTTTCTTTTTGTTTTTCCATTTTCTCTGTTTTCTGATTTTCCTTTTCTTCCAATAACCATCCATCAGGCCAGCTTGGTTGCCAATTAAGACTTGGGGGAGACCTTGATTACCGAGGCAGCATCTCAGCTCGTATGGGATTCTGTCATTTTGAGGGCCACCAAGTAAACTATGGTAAGTCATGTTTTTCAAATTTTACAGGAGAGACAAAAAACGGATTTTCTTGAAGCCTTTTGGGTGGATTAACTTCATTTTCATATAAAGGAGTCTAATGTCTGTCATGGCATCTTTAGGCTCCCTTATGAAAATGAAGTTTATCCACCCAAAACGCTTTTAAAAAATCCATTTGTCTCCTGTAAAATGTGAAAAACATGACTTACCATAGTTTACTTGGCGGCCCTCGATTGTGAATAGCATCTTAAAGTGATGGTTCTGTGATTTTCCTTCCATCCCGGGGTAGGAGATAAAGCAGTTGCTGTAGGTGTGATGCCACAAAAAAAACACCTAACTCCATCACAGAGAGATCGTAAGAAAAATGAATGGATATGTTGGTGTCTGTTGTATTATACATTGAGAAGTAGTTTGAGGAGATAAAGAAGAGAAAGATGCTATTAAGAGCATAGTTGCTGTGTGTTGCTGAAATGCAATATTAACAATAATAATAACAACAACTAAAGGTTGGGTCCCCCCCCCCCTCCCAGAGCAACCAAGTCCTCTATTCCCCAGTCGAGATGGGTGCAGGGGAAGACACGGCAGGTCCCAGAGGGTTAATGTTGTCAGCAAGCAAGATGTAAAAGGTCTCTGCACCTTCTCCACAGTCGTAGGGCTCTCCGATAAATGCATGCTTTTAATACATGTATGTAGCTGGGTTTTCCCTACGTAAAGTCACATCCGGTACAGTGCTGACAAAGAACCTCTACTTCCCACCCTACCAATACCCGTCACAACTTCAGGTCAAAGACAGGTTGTCGATGGAGAGATGAAAAAAGAAAAGTGATATAATAATAATAATGATAATAATAATGATAACAATAATAATAAAATTAAATAAAATAAACACTATAACAATACAAAGGAAGAGTAAGATATGTAGTATGTGTCTCTTTTCTGGGTCACCCCTTGACCCGTTAGCTTCCTTTTTTTCTTTTTCTATTCGAAGAGTACTAATCCCCCCACCACATAGAGGGGGGTCTATTTGGGGGGAGGGGGGACGGGGTATACAATCCTGATCTTTCCCCAAAGCCCATCTGGTTAGGCTTTCCAAGTAAGTTGCTCTGGTTCTATCCCTGCCTCATTCGCTATTAATTCTATCAGCTAGAGCTAGATATTCTAGACCCTTATGTCATTTCAAGTGTTCCAGACACTGCATTGTTGTGGAGATTTTCAATATACAGTCTAGCATGTACACAGCAAACATGCACATAGCGAACAGATTTTCAATCCATAATTTTTTCTTACATATATATCATATATTATTCTTTAAATTTAAATCACATACATTGAAAAAGTCCCAGACAACGAAAAGATTTTTGCGGCCTGCAACTTCGCTATGAGCATGCTAGACTGTGTATCGATCATTTACCATTGATAGCAGCCACAGTGGGAACTGGGAAAACCATAAGCCTCCTCCAGAACTGCCAGAGGCTGATGAAAAATCTCTCTATTTCCTCGGGTGAACGTTTTAAAAGCCATGGGAGATCAAGGCCCGTACTGTAGAACTTCCCCACCCCTGTTGTGATGAGTCCGACACATGTGTCCTCTCTGTGAAGCAAATCATAGAAATGTCAAATACTGGTACGGGCATCTGTGGTGTAGTGGTTAGATGCTTCGCTGTCACACACAGGAGACATGAGTTCGATTACTGAGTGGGGACAATTTTTATTAAGATCAAACATCTCAGTCTTTCTGATGGGATTTTGTATCTCTCTCAGCTGGCAGACAGGGTGAGAATCCCATCTCCTTTATGATCTAAATTGTGTCAATGTAAATGTAAATACCCCTACATTTAAACATTTTTCTTTTAAATGTCAAATATATACATTATAGCCTGGTGGTTTACATATGAAACTCTCTGTCCATTGAACATCTGCATTGTTGACCTGAAAATTTTATCAAATGAGTTCTAAAGACTATTTTACTTTGTAATAACATTGCAAGAAAAAGTCTTAAAAAATGAAAGAGAACATGATTACACCTTACTTATATAGAGAAAAATCTCCCTTACATTCATTGTCAATGCTATTTACAACTTAGCATGACACAAATTCCAAACATTCTTTTACTCATGATTTTATGCATTTTAATTGAAAGATCCTGTTCAAGCAGAACAAATTTATACAATCAAAAACTATTTCTCCTGCATGTTATTTGTGACATTCTTGCATCCAGTGAAATGTTTTGAAAAGTAAGCGGTAGACTCTATATTATATGATCTTTTTAATGCCAGTGACCAATACTGGTGTGTTTGGTTCACCTTTAAATCTAACTCACAACTGCAACAAACAAGGCCCATTTGATATCATATGTATATAACATGAGAATAAAAATCTAGAGTCATCATTTTTATTAGGTAAATGTACAGCTGTGAGCTACACATCATAATATATATATGCATACCCTTCTACTTCTACATCACATAACAAGGTATTAAAACATCATAAGATGCATACCGTTCTACATCATATAACAACGTATTAAAACATCATAACGTGCATACCCTTCTACATCATATAATAAGGTATTAAAACATCGCAACATGCATACCCTTCCACGTCATCCAACATGGTATGAAAGCTGTCGAGAAAGTCATCGTTGAGTTTGTTCTCTCCATTGTTCATTACAAGGACAGCAATACTATCGATGTAGTACAGGGACAGGCCATTCACTTCGCGCCTGGGCTTGTGTTGCTCGAGTGAGCTCATTATGCCTGAAGTGTAAGAAATACAACGACTTGCAGTGAAAAATAAAGTCATTTTAATGTAGTGCCTTCCATACTGTGTACCGATCGTTTACCACTGATAGCAGCCAAAGTGGGTACTGGGAAAACCATAAGCCTACTCTAGAACTGCCAGAGCCTGATGAAAAATCTCTCTATTTCCTCGAACTCGAAAACTCGAAAACTACACTGTAAGACTAAGAGGCCAACTTCTAGATAACATCTGTGCCATTTACGAGAACAGCATAAGTACAGTAAGGACATCAAAGGGACTCACAGAATGGTTCGACACAACATCCGGAGTAAGACAAGGTTGTGTCCTATCACCACTACTATTTATCATATATACATGTATATGGATAGAATTACAAAAGAGGCCAACACAGAATGAATTACTCTTCGCTGATGACCAAAGCCTGGCGCACAAAGATGAATGAAGTTTCCAACACCACACCACCAGATTAAATGAAGAATGTAACAACTACGACACGAAGATCAACATCAACAAAACAGAGACAATGAAAGTAAGCAGAAAGCCAGAACCACTCAGGATACACATCAACAACAACAGTCTCTGACAGGTCAAAGAATTTAAGTACCTCGGAAGTATATATATTCACAGAGGAGGGGCGACTGAACAGAGAAATTGAAACACGAGTACAAAAGGCCAATAATGTTAGTTACCAGCTTACTCCACTACTGAAACATCCTAACATCTCCATGACAACAAACTCAAAATGATCAACCCCATAATTATTCATCCCAACACTCACCTATCAATGCCAAACATGGACCACGAACAAGACATTAGAGCAAAGAATTACAATATGTGAAATGCGATGCCTTAGAAAAGCAGTAAACAAGACCAGGCGAGACAAAATTAGAAACTCTGTAATCCGAGAAAAGGTGGGCACAAATGATGTCATGCATCACATCCAACACCAAAGAATCAAATGGTTCGGACATCTACGATTACCAACACACTATCCCGCACAACGTGCCTACATCCAAAAATTCAATGGCAACAAGGCTAGAGGGCAACTGAGAAAGACCTGGATAAAGGGAATCAGGGAAACATTAACCACCCACGGCATCCCCCTGACCCAAGCTCTCCGGCTGGCGACAGAGAGACGTCTCTTTCTTCCCGCGACACCCGAAAGAAAGGGTATAAGCGGCGGATAAAAGTAAAGAAAAGTAAAGCCTACCATACTTTGAAATTCTCATTGACTCATATATATGAAAAGTGAAACAATACGAAAATCTTTTAGTTTAGTTTCAGTAAGAGTTTTACGTCACTAGCAACACAATAAGGTCATATAAGTGCTGAAGATTAGAGGCGTTACATAAGAGAGTAACAAATACAAAAAAAAGGAGGAGAAATTAGGATGACAGATGTTTGATAGGAAAGAAGGAGAAAAACACACCAGAGCACCCTCTAACCACCCCAAAAAAAGAAAACCTTGATCATCAAAAGAAATAAAATACGATAATGTAAAATAAAAAGATAACCAGCTTCTCACAGTAGCCACTGAAGACAATCATAAAAGAAACTCTCTCTCTCTCTCTCTCTCTCTCTCTCTCTCTCTCTCTCTCTCTCTCTCTTAAAAACACACAAACACATTTGAACACTGTAGGCCTATCTCAAACACATAATAAGAACACATCTGTACATTGACATACATATTATAACAGGTATTGTTGAATCCATGGTAAAAGTATTAATTTGTTGTGGTGAAAAACAAGGCGAAACAAAATATTTCCGGGCTTTTCTTTTCTTTACTGCTTGAGTTTGCTTTCTTTAACATTATGTTTTTCAATATTTACTTTCTTGGCAAAGACTAGGCCTATGACTATGATGAGGCGATGTGTTCAAACTGAGGGTGAAACTGCCCTTCATCAGGCTCCCTCTGATCACTGAAGTCTAAGTTAGATGCCGAAGCGACTCTGGTCTACAAGAGCTGGTGGCCCGCGTTTTAAGTCATTTTCTCAGGATAGTCCACTTTTTTTTTTCTATCAGTCGATGCACCCAGCAAGCTCCCATGGCCATGAACTTCAACTTCCCCCAACAATGAATTGAATGACGATGATCTTCGAACAATAAGAGACGGCCAAGCATGGTGAGAGACCGAGAGGGGTGAAATGCAGGCTAGAAGAAATATAAAAGGAGAATAAGACAATTGGGGAGGGGGAGTAGACTCCATAAAGGGAAAGGACTACAGTACTGTAACGAGCGACCCCCCCCCCCCCCCCCCCCCCAACCAACATAATAAATAACGAAGTGTGTACAGACCCGGTAACCGAGAACAAAATCAATAAGTATAGATCTACAGACCCAGTAGGGGAAATCTTTTGTGATTTCGGAAAGTTTCAGCGCCCAGATCCGGTAGAGTGTGTGTGTGGTGAGAGAGAGTAGAGAGAGAGAGAGAGAGGAGGTGGTAGAAAACAGGGGGAAATAATTACATGCCCCAGTTGACAGAATAAGGGAACGAGAGAAAGATAGAGTGGGAAAGTAGGTGGGAGAGAAAGAAAGACAGAGACAGACAAAGAGAAAGAGAGGGTGAGTGATACACAGAGGAGAGAGAGAGTCGGAAAAAGAGGGGAGAGAGACAGAGAAATAGAGGTGCTTTTTCGGTACCGTAGTTCCCACCCCCCTTATTTGGGCTTAGATCTAGATCTAGATCTAGATTCTACATCTAGATCTTTATCAATACGTTTGATGTGCGGCGAGCTAAGATTTCAAACCTAACAACTGCAAAACATCAAATTATGGTAAAATTCAGGGTGCATGCCCCCCTGAAACCCCCCACCATATTTTTTATTAGGTCACTTCAGGTGAGAATAGCGCAGTTGTAGGCCACTCACCCAGGGTGAGAGATCGAGCCTTTTGGCTTTTCTCACCTGGTGTGTGTTCACCGTGATTGTGATGCCAGTACCAGTGTAAACAAACATTCCAGAGAGAGGAGTAACGAGAACTTTTGGGCAAAACAAAATGGCGACCGGCGTAGTTTGGCTCGAAATAGCCGTGTAGCATCTTTTTAGACGACCAAATATGTTTACTTTAGTGCTACAACATCATTTTTTCTTTGTTTTTGTAAATTTGATCATCCCCACCGATAGACAGTATTCAGAAATTAGGAAAAACAGGTTTTGTTTCACACCGGATGAGAATAGCCAACGCTAGCAAATCTCACCCCCGGTGAAAGGTCGATAAAATTGTAATGACTTTAAAATAAGAAAATTAAGTACCGTAAATGATAGTTTGTGCTAAATTAATAGTACTGGTGAACTTTTATCCATTAAAATTAAAGTAACAGTTAACAAAAAACATTTGTCTACTTCTGGTTGTTTGATCGAGGACTTGAAACATGACTTGTGTTGTTTTTTTTCAGAGTGGCCATAATGACTGCCTTAGAGTTTCTTCATCAAACAGAACAATGGAAGGCAAGTCTACAAATTTGTTTTTGTTTTTTTCAGTAGTAGCAAGCAGGATTTCTAACTGATCTATCAAATATTTTTCTTTTAAAGATTAATCACAGGTCTATTCTATTACAGTTTAATATTATGAGGCTTTCACTTTCATCTGCTCTGCAAAGTTTACTGATTGCGATAAAGGGAATCACATTACAGTGGAATCCACTTATAACGAGTCCTGAAACAACGAAAAGTCTGTTATTAAGACACTATTCTAAAACCCCGTTTTTTCCCTTCTTTATCTTTGTAAATAAAATACTGCTATAGCGCAATAGGACAAACACTGGATTCGGTTATGCAGTAATACAGCTGCTGCTGTGCACAGCGCATAGGCTATTTCTTAATGTAAAACCTCGCCAGTTGAGAAACTTGGTGATCTAGCGAAACAAAGAATGGGAGAGCCCACGAGTGCCAACAATGAAGGCCTGATTGAATGAGTGGGGAGAGTGTGGCATGCACAGACAAGCAGAACGCATCGTGTGATAGGCCAGCCTAGTCTAGATTATCTAGGTCTACCACGCCTCTCACTTCACCGATGCGGGAATGGAGAGGTCATAGTGCTGTACTGTGATGGACGGAGTGAATGTGTGACGTGGGCGGGGTGTGGTATGTTTCTTTGTGCGCAAGCAGACGGAACGCACCACAGGGTGTGGTGGGGTGGGGGACAACACAGCGGGCGAGTTAGCCTAGAGAATTTTCTTTCTGATCACCAACGCCGAGCTCTCAATATCGCTAGCCTTTGAGAAAGAAACCTGATTCGACTTTTGATCAAGTAAGATCATGTTGAACCAAATCATCCTCAGGGGAGATTACAAAAAGAAAGAAACCGAAAACCAGACTCATAGATTAGGCCTACTTTACTATTTTCCTTGAATTTATTACTGGGTCCCTTATAACGAGAATCTTGCTATAACGGACATTTGACACCGGTTCCCTCCCTCTCGTTATAACAGGATTCCACTGTAATTTATATAACAAAACCATTCATAAAGCAACCTGAGACAGGAAATGTGGCCAACCCCATTGACACTACAAGAGAAGCTGTACGGCTGACATAATATAGAATCTGCGTTTGTTGCGGCAGCGATTTTTGGCATTTTTGGTCAGTGAATCGCTGCCGCGATTTTGGCATTTTTCAACAAAAAAAAACAACTACAAAAAAACACAGCCGAGTAATAAAAAGTCGAAAAATAGGGGGGGGGGGGCGGGGAAAAAAAAGGAACAAACCTCTGCTTTTAGAAAGAAAGGTTACTTTTCACTTTCACTTCACTTTATCTCTTTCTCACTTGTTGACACCACGTTGATTTGTAATTTTCAAGTGAAGAAAAAAAGTACATTACATACTATTTATATTGCCTTTTCTCTTTCATGTTTCCCTCTTTGTTGTGTTTTAATTTGCTGGTGGGTAAATTTTTTTAATTTTTTTTGTTATTGTTCTGATGTGCTGTTTTTCCTTTTTTTTTTTGTGATATAGCTTAATGTAGTCTACCTTTTTTTAAATACATAAATGTGTTAGCTATGTTAGAGTGTGTTTCCACCAAAACTGAATACAGTGGAAACCATATATAACAGGCCCGGTAATAACAGGGATCCGGTAATAACAGCGATTTTAAAAATCCCCAATTTTTCCTACTCTTTGTCTCTATTAAAAGTTATCGGCAATAACAGGGCCTCATCGGAGCCCAACCGGTTATAGCAGGGACAAAGGCTCGTTAACAATGAGTAAAAAGTAAGAGAGAGAGAGAGAGAGAGAAAATAACGCAGTGATGGAGCAAGCCCACGCAAGACATGCCACTGCGAGCACACGCAGCGTGTGAAGTGAGAGAGGGTTGCGGTGCGCTGCAGACCTCGATCTGGCCTGAAACCTAGCAACATGCACGTGTAATGTGTCATCAACGATGTCAAGCGCAAGAGAAAATGCCTTTCATTTGACAAAAATGTGAAATAATCCAGGCTGTTGACAAAAAGCAAGTTCCACTGGCAAAGATTTGTCGTCAGTTCGACATTCCACAAGGGTCGATTCACACTATTATCAAGGATAAAGAGAAGATCGGGATCGAAAGAAGATGAGACTACCCGATGCAGATGCTGTGGACCAAGCTCTTCTGATGTGGTTTAAGGAGGCAAGGAGAAAGTGAGTGCCAAAACCCCTGTTCGTGGGTACTTGTGGCAAGGGCAACTACCCATGAGTAAGTACAGCTGGATTTGTCCACAAATGCTTACTTTCCTCGCCTTTCTGATTTAACAGGGATCGGATATAACAGGACTTTTTCTCTACTCCCACCATCCCTGTTATATCAGGTTTCCACTATACTCACACTGTGTGTGATTCCATAATTTACATGATGTAATATTCTGTACTTTTTTAAAACTTACAAACATTTAAGGTTAAAATGACCAGTCTTCGGATAGGTGGACATACGCCCTATTTGTTAATTTTTGCTGTTCTAATTTTGATTTCATTCTGTTGTGAAACCTCTATTTTTCACGTTTTTACACTCTGTGTGGCTGCAAAAGATCTTCTGGATGCTTAAAATACAGAGCACAAGAAATTCTAGTGCTTTAGATTAAGTGACTTCTATCAACATATTCCTTATATAGATACGTCGTCACAGAAAGTTAAAAGCTTGAAAATTAATGGCAACTTGTGGCAACTTTTAGACAAAAAATGCAACAAACGCAGATGCTAGACATGTGAACTGAGCAGGCTGGCCCAGTATATGACAGAAACCAGACTTCAAGTGTGATGCGATTGAGAAGAAGAAAGAAGGTAAAAAGTAAGACAAGACAAGCTATATATTTGAACAAATAGATTATTTCTCAAGATTCTCTCCATCTGCTCCATCAACGCGGTGAATTTTATTCACTTAAATTATCATCGATCGCAAAGGTGTATGTCATGATTTTTAACTTGCTATGGAACCTTGCTACAGTGAAAACGCATGTGAGGCAGGGTGGTGAAATCAGGCACTCGTCAAAATAAAGAAATCGGAGAAACTGGCATTTTTCCGCCAGTTTGAACATATTTGTCGAATTTTCATTTTTTGGCTCAACCTCTTTTATGTCAATATAAAAACGCTTCCTTGTGAATTTTATTGAAAAACTTGATTAAAGGCACAAAATGTCATTGTTTTAGTTTTCAAAGACTCTTTGGCTATTGGACCAAACTTTAGCGGCCATTTTCTAGCTAATTTCAATACGGAAACCAGGTAACCTCACGTTTTCAAACACAATGTGGGTACTTACAGGGTGATCCAAAAAAAACAACTGTACAAACTTTTTTCTAAATAATATCTCGCACAAAATTTGTACTAGAATGTTGTAATTTGGAACATTTATCATTCATTCAAAAGGAATTTGTTTGACATAAAATTCACAAAGAAGAAACTTATTTTTGAAAACGGAAATGGCTTTTATAAAAACCACCTAAAAATGCAAAGTGCACCAATTTAAAGGAAAGTCATGAAATGACTCGTTTGATTTTTTCCTTTCCTTTTATTTTTAAAATCTAAATTTTCCAGCCCTGTAACCTTTAAACAATCTCCTACACTACAAAGTGAAACATTTTTTTTCAAATTCTGGAATTCCAAGAACCAAAAGGTCAATATGTCCTCATTTGGACTCGACACATTTGAACGTGTCGTTGGTAATGTTCAATTGTGGCCAACACAAGGATCCACTCAACCATGAGTACTCAAAGCCACTTACACTGCACACCTTATAGTATGGAGCTATTTCTAGAGACAAATGGGGGAGGAGTGAGGTTGCTCAAATACGTAGACAGCATTTGTGGAGTTGATATAAGCTGAAAGGTGAATGGGCTTTGCCAAGGAACCAAAATGTCACAGAGGAAATGTCCACTCTTTTCAAGACGATAGAGGAATCAAAAACACATTGTTATGACCTCTGATAGTTTCGCGAATGGGAAAATGGTAGTCATAGAATATCTGCCTTGAGAATGCGGACAGTTGAGATGTAGGAAAGTCATTGCTGCAGACATTGTCTACGGACAGACATCTCATCATGGGGCCCATCCACAGAATTCTGCACCCTGGTGAAGTTTAAAGGGGTGCAGATGCTAGACATGTGTTTCTCCTCAAGTGGTCATTTTGTCTGGGACTTTTTAGCTCTGATTCTCTACAGGTACTAATCGAGAAACCATTTCCACTCATGACATCAAAGAAGTCCTTATGGTTACTTTAACATTATTTCTGTACCTTGTGCGACACTTACTAAATCAGTCGGTGGTGAGGAAATGTTCAATACAAAAAGTAAAAGCTCTCTACTCTTTACTAATCTTAATCATGATCACAACAAGCAAAGGAAACTTGAGAAAAACTATCTGCAAACTTCTATTGGCCTGTTAGACTACTGCAGTTTGCAAAATGGCGCAATCGTTGGGATTTTTTAGCGGTAGGCCTAATGCGAACTAGTGCACCATGCTACAAAAATGGAGACACAGCTGAAAATGGATTTTTCTAAAATGAATATCAGACCAATTCTTTTTGACTTCCAAATGTTCTGTACAAATTTGAAGTGCAAAACTTCAGTGTAGAGGGAAAACATTAACAAAAAAAGTTGTAGGCATACAGGTTTTTTTGGATCACTCTGTATTTCTTTGGAAGCAAGCCAAATAAGCAGGTCACACCAGAAGGAAATGCACTAGAACTAGAAGACGTTGAATCATTTAGCTATCTTGGGAGTATAATTGACAGAGAGGGAGGAACAGGCGCTGAAATAATAAAGTCCCGCATTGGAAAAGCACAGGCTGCTTTCATATCACAGACTTGCATAAGAGGATCCAGGTTTTCTTGAACAAGTGTCTAAGAAAGTTACTGAGGATCTGATGGACAAACAGGGTCACCAACGAGTAAGTGTTTAAAAAAAACCAAGACAGATCCCAGTCAGAGATGAGGTAGGAAGAAGGCGGTGGCGATAGATTGGACATACTCTCAGGAAGTCAGGCAGCTGCATAACAAAGAAATTGTTGAATTGGAATCCACAGGGTAAAAGATCAAGGGAAAGACCGCGTGGAACCTGGAGAAGAATTACAGAAATTGATGTACAGGAAAGTGGGAAGACGTGGAATAACGTCAAGAGGCTAGTCCAGGATAGAGAAAGGTGGAAAGTGTTCGTCTGTGGCCTTGAGAAAGGCAATGATGATGATGCAGGCAATTCAGATGATATCAATAACTCCACATGCCCAAAAATTGTCGAGCGCCTGATTTCACCGCGTCGTGACACATATTTACTCCCAGGTGTAATTTTTTTCTTTGCACTGAAACTGAAGTGAAGAATTGTTTTCATTACATCTTTTCATAATGTTGAAGTTGGGGTTTGTTTTGTTTGTTTTGGAGGAGGGGGGTTGTGGTTTTTTAAACAAAAATTCAAGTTCCTTTTTAAGCCATTACCTTAAAATTGTTATATAGACTTGGCTGTGTATGGTTAACTCTAGTTCAAGTTCTCAGGATCACATGCTTGGGTCATTGGAAGGAGTTTTTCTGGCTCTATACTAGCTTGCATTACCATGACACGCCATAATAGCAAAAGTTATCAATTTTCTCTTTTTATCATTGACTTTGATAGTCTAATTAATTAGCATTTATTTCTCTTCCTATCATAGTACAGCTAATTGAACACTAATGAAGTGTACTTTTGATTACTCCACAGACAACTCTGAGTACACATGGCTGAATTTCCATACCACATCCTTTCAAGAACGATTAAATAAAAACTGTAAGTGTATAGAAATAAAAATAATAAAAATACTGAACATGTAAAAATGTATAAAATGTATGTTGTGTTTTCTGTGTTACCCCACAACACTCTACCCTGTAAAAATCACATTTTTGTCACTCAAAATTTTTAATACTGATGAAAATCTACTTTGAATTAAGGGTTTCTTAAAATTTAAATCATTCATGAATTGAGCTCCATTAAGTTTCTCCAATTGTTGTTGGTTTTCGTACATGGGGACCCTGATTAAATCTTTCAACCCATAGTATAGGGCAAGTATCTGTCTAATTCTTTAATTAATGGAAACATCTTTCTTTCATTTTATTTTTGTTGCAGCTGCTCAAAAGCAGCCAAGTGCACCTAAAGAATCCCAGCAAAAATAATTTAATCAAAGGAATACAGTGGGTGTCGCATTCAACGAGGTTGCCGGGACAGGTTTGTTGTCCTCGTTGGACCCGACTTCTCGTTAAACGTGACCAAGGCTAAAGAAAAGAAAGGAGACAAGTTATTATATTACACGATGTACCAATACCAGTAATTAAAACAGTTGTTCCCCCAGATTACGAAAATCCCAAACAGCATCAGTGTGTATGCGTTTGAACTGTGTTCTGACCGTCATTTCTGCTTTTTAATTAGAATATTTTTTACCGGAACACTTCTCGTGTGGAAACATACCCTCTCACATCTAGGCCTAGATCTACGTAAAGTAAAGGCAGGAGCTTGGATTTTCTGATCAGGGTAAGATAATAAGACAATTGAAAAAAAATGAAGGTCTTGATCTAGACCTACCCGTCCAGAGTTCACCCAGTTTCACACAGCCCACTGACTCCTGTCCCTACTGTAGGCTAACCCTCGCCCATCCTCTTGGTCTAGAGTCCACTTATAACGAGTCCGGAAAAAACGAGAAGTCTGTTATAAAGGCACTATTCTAAAACCCCGTTTTTTTCTCCTATTTAACTTTGTAAACAAAATACTGCTATAGCGCTATCAGACACACTTGCGAGTCGGTTATAGCGGAGTATTGTTGCTGCTGTGTACAGTGCATAGACCAATTATACATAATGCTAGACCTCGCCAGTTGAGAAACTTGTTGCTGATCTTGCGAAACAAAGAATAGGAGAGCCCATGTGCGTCAACAATGAAGGCCGGAGCAACTGAGTAGGGAAGGTGTGGCATGCACAGACAAGTAGAACGTATCGCGTGATAGGCCAGTTTAGATTATCAAGGCCTGCCATGCCTCTCACTTCTCGGATGCGGGGATGGAGAGGTCACAGCAATGTGATGGATGGAGCGAATGTTGAATGTGTGACGTGCGCAAGCAGACAGAATGCACCACAGGGTGGGGTGGGGTGGGGGGGAAAACACAGCGGGCAAGTTAGCCCAGAGCCCTTTCTTTCTGATCGCCAACGCCGAGCTGTCAGTCCACATCGCTAGACCTAGCGCTAGAGAGAAACAAACCTGATTCGATTTTTTATCAAGTAAGACCTAGAGGTCATGTTGAAACAAAATCATCATCAGGGGAGATAGCAAAAGGAAAAACAGAACATTAAACTCATAGATTAGGCCTACTTTACAGTTTCCCTTGAATTTATTACTGGATCCCTTATAGCGAGAATCCTGCTATAACGGACATTTTGCTTCGGTCCCCTCCCTCTCATTATAACAGGATTCCACTGTAGGAGGTTTACTGGATCTAGCAATGCAATGTGTTAGGAATCGAGGATGGGCCTTGCTTTGTGCTGCTTAGCATGAGATAGAGAGAAAGGAGAAAAATTCTACGCTTTTGGGGCCACTAATTGCTTTTATTTGGTTATCGCGACCTCGTTGAAAGCGACTTTGGCCTGTTTGCAACCTTGTTGGAGCTGACGTACATTTACAAAAGAGATATAGAGGTAAAAATCTGGAATTAACGATTGCCTCGTTGGAGCCGATTTCTTGTTGAATGTGACCTCGTTGAATGCGACACCCGCTATGCAAGCTCTTTACTGATTTCTAGGGCACTTTCTTGACTGAGCAGTGAAAGGTACATAAATAATTTCATCACAATAATAATTTTGAAACAGCCAACTACCTTTTTTGTTTTCAGACTTCATTTACAGCGGAGAGGACAGCAAGCTTCCATTTGTCACTGAAATGGTAGAAAATCACAGGTATGATATATTTTAGTTGATTTAGAATATTTTGCCATACAGACCCTCCAGTACTCTTTTGATTATTTTATTCATTAAACGCAATCAAATCAATCAAATGAGGAAACTATCAACCTCATATGTGAAACATGGTGAAATCAGGCGCTCGTCAATATAATGAAATCGAAGAAACCGGCATTTTTCTGTACGTTGACAATTTTTATCGAATTTTCATTTTTTGTCTCAACACCTCTAAGGTCCATTTAAAAACATATTTCTGTGATGTAGATTTGCAGTTTCTAAGGACTTTGAAAAGTCTTTAAAAGTCACCAAATTTTGGCAGCCATTTTCTTGCTAATTTAGTCTCTGAAACCAGGCGACCCCCACCTCCTTCAATAGCAAATATCTAGACTTCTATTCATGATAGATGAGTATTTTTTCCCCCGGAAGCAAGACAAATGAACAAGCTTTAAAATGATACCAATGACTCCACATGTCAAAAATTGACGAGAGCCTGATTCCACCGCGTCGTGACACATATATTTCAGAACTTTGCAGCCCTTTAGGGACAGTTTTAGTGAATGTCCTCTTGTGGTGAAATATTCAAAATACACTGAGATTTTTTAAAAACAGATGGAAATAATTAATAGAAATGGGATCGCTCGAAGTAGACAAATGTTAATGCAATATTACAGCACTAGCTAAAATGTTTTCCATTGTACAGTGGAAGTTAGATTTAATGAGAACTCAGATTCAACGAAAGGAGATGGATTCCCCGTTTGTTTTCTTCTTTAAAATCAATGGAAATAACCCGGATTCAACGAGCACTTAAAGTCAGCAAGCTCGGATTCAATGAGGTCGATTCCAGAGTGAACAGCGCTCGCAGACGTAGCTTCGCTCATTTTTCTCCCTCGATGAACTTTATCTATACCCAGAAACCATCCATTGCACCTGCATCGTGAACCATTATTCACTTTGCTGATTGCATGCGGCCTTCTTTCATACCAACACATGTGTTGTTGGCATGCGCACATGTCTACTCTAACGCGTGTCAGGGTCGGATGGGTGGCCTGCACACGTGTGTGACTGAGTGTGCGGGTCGGGGGGTGGGTGGGGGGGGGGGACCATGGGTCTGGGCGTGGAACCTCGCAGATACAAACGCGTCACAGTCTTTTTTTTCCCCCAGCAACTGATCATTATTACAATGATAAGCTAGTCTTGACGTAGATCTACATAATGAATTGTGCGCTGGTCTATGGAAGCAAAAGTTGCCATATGCTAGGTTCTACACAGCAGCACAACTTTTTGGCAAACGATCGAGATGACACAGGCGTGCATTTGAACCAGTATTTTTTTTTTTTTGCACAGCTCATAATATGCAGGCATTTCAGGCACACTTGTTACTTCTCTTTACACATTACTTGCTCAGTGCCTGTAATTCTGTTCCCGTGGTTTTATGCACCCCGCATAATTTAGCAAAATTTGATCATTTTTTGCATAATTTTTTACTATTTTCCTTTATCATTCTTTGTTAAAATTAACAGAATTGCATAATGATAATTTCACATTTTTGGGCTCACTTTGCATAATTTCAGAATTTTTCTTGCGTAAGACGACAGGGACAGGTAACTATCTACACAAAACCTCCTTTTTACTATAACAAACACTCGGATTCAACGAGATTTTAGGTCAGGCCCGGCAACCTCGTTGAATCCAAGTTCCACTGTACTTGCACAGCACTGATGGCTTTAGTCTATGATAATAATTATATGTTTTTATATCAGTTGTTAGCTAAGTTATCATTATTTTCTCGTCTTGGTTCTTACACTTCTAATCTAATTCACTAGATCTACAACACACAATCTTGGATAAAGTAGGTTTACACTAGAGGTTTTAAACTCAAATTACATAGGAGTTGCTGGAAGTAAAATCTGGAGGAGCCTAGGCAGCATTAAGAATTCTATAAATTTTTTAAAATGTTGACAGTATTTTTTTTAAGTACAATTTGAAAATTATGTTTACAAGTTGTTAACAAACACCATTGGAAGCTGTCATGAGCCTTAGCTATTTGGTTTTAGTAAGAGTTTTACGGCACTTGCAACACAATAAGGTAATATAAGTGCTGAATCCTTAGCCGTGGTAGGCCACATCTTTAAAAAATAAATGATCTTGGGAAACACCTTGGCAAAAAGGTACATGTGTAAAAAATGTGCAGCCCGCACTAACACTAACAATAAACTGTGAGGTCAAGTAGGGGCTGCAAAATATTGTCCTGCAGGTTTTAATTAGCCCACAGGCCATAATTTTGAGACCCCTGGTCTACACTATGGCTCGACAACCCACCACAGTACCAGCACCACTGTATGTTGTGCTGCCTTTGACTTAATATTGAGTCTCTTGAGATCTCCTGATCTTCCCTGATGCGTTTATCCCTACAGGACTTGGGTTCGGTACAAAGATTCTTTCTTTGATACTAGTTTATTCATTTTATTGGGTCAAGTAAACATGAGAATTGTATTCATTGGTAAAATCTTAACTTTGTTTGATTGTCTTTACGGCAGATAAACTTGTCAATTTGATGAGATTAAGTACTTGATACTGAATAGAAATTTCATTTAAATCCCAACATTAGAACTTTATGAGACAATTTGCTCAACATGTTTTATTTTATTCTTCCTTTTCAGAAAATGTCCGTACTGGACTCTGCTGAAACACTTTTGTCCATGTGCCCTTGACATCTCCCTCAGCGCAAAAGAATCATGTTGTGCCTCCAAAAACGGGGCGAAGAAGAACATGAATCTTTCTGATGACTTTTTACCAGTGCAAAGTATATTCTTGTTTATACGATGCATATTCCTGAAAGTGGTGCCAAAATCTGCTCTTGGAAATAAAAGGAACTTTAATACATTCCTCAAGCATGTGCAAACATTTTTGTCCATCCAGCTCAAAGGAACAATGTCTTTACACTACTTGTGTGCCAATATAAAAGTGAAGGTGATCCCATGGATTCAAGCTGAAGAACACAGGAAAAGAAGGACTTTGCTGTCGTCAGCAGTTGACTTTTTCATGATGAAAGTTATTTTCCCTTTGGTACAGTCTTTCTTCTATGTCACTGAATCTACGACGCACAAGAAAAGATTGTTTTTCTTTCGAAAAAAGACGTGGCACAGATTGCACCAGCAGTCTTGTGCACATTTCATAAAACAGTGTGGCCTGAAGCTGGTGCCACAAGCATGGGTCCAGGAGAAAAGACAGAAAGGTCTCTGCTTGGGAGTGTGTACTGTTCGATTCCTTCTGAAAAAGCCCTCATTAAGACCTATAGTAAATATGTCTCAAAAATCTCACGATGTGTCCATAAACAAGCACCTCAAAGCGCTACTTTTAGCTCTCCGCTGGCTCAAAGATCAACATCCTGTGATGTTAGGAGCATCAATTCTGAGCATAGATGATATTCACTGCAGATGGAAAGCATTTACTGATTATGTGAAAAGTAAGTCTATTAAACAATTGTACTTTGTGAAAATAGATATTGAGAAATGTTTTGATACAATCAATCCTTGTTTGCTCTACAGCGTGGTCCAAAACCAGCTTCTCAGTCAGGAGAAATACCACATTTACCATTACAAGAGAAATATTCAGTCAGATGGGCAATCTAAAGTGGTCTATTACCAAAGCTCTGACAAACCAGAGATTGAATGTAGAACCAGACAAGGTGCTCAGTTTGTTCATTCCTTCTCTGTCTCATCTGAAGTGCTTTTGAAAAAACTTCAAGCATTGCTTTTTGCCAATGTCATAAGGCTTGGGAGACAACACTATGTTCAGTCCATGGGTATTCCACAGGGATCTAGCATTTCCAGCATCCTTTGCAGCTTTTACTACGGATATATGGATCAAGTAAAACTTTACGAGTTTCAGAGAAAACCAAACTTTCTGGTCCGTATGATAGATGATATGCTCTTTGTGTCTCCCAGCAGAAAAAGGGCTGAAGCTTTCTTCACTATGATGATCGAGGGTGTCCCAGAGTTCAACTGCAAGAGCAGTCTCCGTAAATGTTGTGCCACATTTGACTACAGCCACCCTGAGTTTGGCCGTGCTCACACCCTAAAGCCTTCTGAACCGTTGACATTTTGTGGCTTGGCCATTGACTGCCGAAGTCTGAACATTCTGGTGGACTTTTCCAACAACAAGAACATAACTGTGCGAGATACTGTCTCCTTGTGCCTTGCCAATCATCCCGGGCTACAGCTAAAGAAACTGTTGTCATGGTACTTGAGACCCAAGAGCTATGCTGTTCTCTTTGATAAAGACATTAACACAGAGACAAGCATCATAACAAATGTTTTGCACATTTTTATGCTTGTTGCAGTCAAATTTCATTCTCACATTAAGCAACTTCCTCCGAAGCAAAGAATTGAAAGCAACCCAAACTTTTTCCTCAAATTGATTCAAGAAATGCCTCATATGTTTATGAAGATTGTGGTGCAAAAACTGCAAAAGTCACAAAGTTCTGATCAAGGCATGGTCTCCTTCCCTCTCAGCACACTAATAGTAAAGAGACTTTGCACCAGAGCGTTCTTGTATAAACTGAGAATGCACGACAGCATGTACAAATTGCTGATCAAGCAGCTTCAAGTACAAGAGCGTCAAAGACATAAAGGTCAGGACCTCACTATTGTGGATCTGTCAGAAGTGTACAGGGCTGTTTGTCTTTAAACTCTCATGAGTACATAATATAATCTGCCACGCTCTTTCGGTTACCAAATACATGTGCAGTCAAACCTGTTCTTACTGCTACCTGTCAAAAAACAGTAATCTTTACAAACTATCACTTCCCACTTCTCCCTCCCCCTCCCCCATGTTGCCGTCCACTCTCAATCACTTCTTCTGCAGTGGGGTCTGCATCATATTCTTCCCAGAAGATAACTTTGTTAATACATTGTAGAGTCACCGACATTAGTTGCTGTATTTCTTTTATTTTTACACTCTGAATACGGACCAAACTCAACAGAAAGACGTTAAAATGTGATGATGTTGGATTGTTTTTTCCTCCGACTGTATTTTGATTCTTTCATGCAACATAAACATTATATTTATATGTATATATTATATACAGTCAAACCTGTGTAAGACGTCCACCCATTGTCAAGGAGAAAAGTGGCCGTATAAGACAGGTGGCCATCTTAGGCAGGACTAATCAAGATAGAGAAAACAAATCATTCCTATCAGAGGTCCCAATTGAAAGTAGCTAGCCGCATTGTTGTTGTTTATGTTCTTGTTGGTGGTGGTGGTTTGTATTTTGTTTGTAATTTTTATTTTGATGCTGATTTCGCACAAGGGTGACAATAAAACGAAATGTATCAGACGAGGAAGACCGAGTGCCATGTAAAAACAAACTCATGGGTCGCCACCACTCGGAGAACGAGCGACGTTTCTGTCACAAGTTCATGTTGACGTCCTTTGTTACTTTTTTACAGACTGGGTAAACAGTGATCACTCATCTCACTTACGATTTGTGTTTAAGTTCTGGGCGGGGCTTATGGGTTATGAGGGATCACACGCTTACCTCACCAGCAGCTGAAAATTGGTAGCTATTGGTCAACATTGGGAGGGGCCTACGCAACATGATCGGTTGGAGGGACTACCTAACAACGACAGGAGATTGAATTCTGACGGCTCGCCCACAACGCCAGGGGCCAATGCACAATTTATGACTAAACGAAATGCAGTCACTAAGGTGGCCGTCTAAGACAGGTGTTATTGCTTAGTGAGATAGGGGTTTTGTGTTAAAATAAGGTGGCCGCGTTGGACAGGTGCCCGTTTTACACAGTTAAATTATATAGAAAAAACGCAAGGGGGGGAATGGAAAATGGCCGTTTGTACGGGTGGCCGTCTTATAGAGGTGGCCGTCAGGGCAGGTTCGACTGTATATATATATGGCCGCCAGATATGTTGAACAGGTTACAGTTGGTGCTACATTGTGCGTTTTTTCATTGTGACAGGAGAGGAGAAGTGAGATTATAATTTGCTAATTTTTTCCAGTTTTTTGGTCAAATTAATTGAGTATTATATAACTGAATCGCACGAATGAATGAAAATTATAATAATAATAATAAATTGCATTTATATCATTTCCACAAAGAAATGCTCAATGCGCTGTACAATAATAATACAAAGAACATAATATATATGCAGCCAACTGCTCCTATAGTAATCCTCTTTCTCTCTCTCTGTCTCTGTCTCTCTCTGTCTCTCTCTCTCTCTCTCTCTCGTACATCCTTGAGTAAAGACAATTCCACAAAGCTTACCCAGACACCCTCGCACACATTGATGAATTCACAGTCATAAATTCTTACAGAACAGAAAAGTATGAATACATGTAAAGAAAACATTTCTTCTACTTCAGTTTTTTTTACTTAGCAATTGCACACTAGTGGACGTTCAAAATACATGTATAATCTCACGACTGGAAGGGGGGGGGGGGGGGGGGGGGTGGGAGGAGTCATTGGCTCCAATAAGAAAAGTGTAAGATGGAGGGGGGGGGGGAGGGTGTGTGTCTTGAACCAATGTAATAGCCTACTTTTTTTCTGTTCCGAGGTGTTTGACTTAATCAGAATTCCACTGTAATTTGTTTTGTTTGTAATTAAGCCAATTAAGGCGCTTTTGACATTGACATGAGTCTCATTATTTTCCTTACTAGTAAGAAAGAGAGTATGCAATATTTTGCTTGAAGGATTTACTGTCTTTTTTTTACTGAATGTAGAACAGCATATATTATTATGAGCACGTTTGTGTGGATGCATGTTTTTCATGAATACTATGTAAGACGCATAGAGTAGCCTACAATGATTGTAACACTGACATTAATGTCATAGATTATTATTATTTTGAGCGAACAATGTAATATTACGGGATGGGGGGGGTGGGGGGGGTAAGAGGCAAATGTAAGAAAGGTGTAAGATTATATTTGAACAGCCTCTTACTTACATTCTCTAACCAGCTCAGGCCCTGGGTCACCTTTCCAGGCTTTTGTCAATGATTCACACTTGCTTTTAAAAAATATTCGTTTATTTCTCACATATTGTACATATTGTATTCCTCAGAGATTTTCAAAAGTGCTTTTTACTTTGACTTTGAATCCTATGGTGATCACATAGATCTGAATGCATCTATTTGAGGTCTGTGAATAAACATATTTGTGAGGCAGCTTAGTAAATCGGGTGCTCTGTTCTTATATATGTGTGTGTATGCTGTGTCTGAACTAGACTGTTATAATGATTAGTCATGGTCCAATCTAGGAACATTATGGCACCAGTAATGTACATGTTCTGCTAACATCACATAATAATATGTATAAAGTTTACTCCGATTTGATTGAACCCTACAATCCATGCACCCCAACTCACTCCCCCCCCCCCCTCCCCCCAACCTTCCCTCCTGTTGAATTGTAAATCCAACCCCCAACAATTTGTCCATTGACATTATTTTCCATGTGTTCTCCTTTGTTTGTCTCGTAGCATGATTTATCCACTGTCGGCTTACTAGGGGTGACCCGAGTCGGCCTTCGAGGCTAGCGTAATGCCTCAGTGACATAAAGTAATAAAAATCACACCATACTTCACCCAGACCCAGCTATCCCCTACTTTGTCCTGTTTCCACCTCCCCTGACAGGAACGAAGTGTTGGAGAGATTGAAAGATCAGGAATTTTAACAAAATAGAAATTAACACTAACACTCTATTTTCATCTCCTAATAACTTATTGATTGCCTTGCCCTTTGTTGTTTTTTAAACATAGCAGAATTCGGATTCAACGAGAACTCAGATTCAACAAAAGAATACGTATTCCCCGGTTTTGTTTTTTCTTCTTTAAAATCAGTAGAAATAACCCAGATTCAATGAGCACATAAATCAGCAAGCTCGGATTCAACATTCAACGAGGTCGCTTCCAGGGTGAACAGCCCCCCGCAGACGTGGCTTCGCTCATTTTTCTCTCACAACGAACTTTATCTATTCCTGGAAACCATCCATTGCACCTGTGCTTTGAACCATTATTCACTTAGCCAATTGCAATTGCATGCGACCAATCAGCGGCCTTCTTTCATACGCACACATGTGTCGGGGTCGGATGGGCGGCCTGCACATGTGTGACTGTGTGTGCGTATCGGGGGGCACCAACGCTCCCAGTGTGGAACGTCGCAGATACAAACGTGTCACAGTCTTTTTTTTCACCAGCAAATGATCATTATTACAATGATAAGCTAGCCTTGACGTAGATCTACGTAATGAATTGTGCGCCGGTCTATGGAATCTAAAGTTGCCGTATGCTAGACTAGGTTCTACACAGCAACACAACTTTTTGGTAAACAATCGAGATGACACAGGCATGCATTTGAACGAATCTCTCTTCTTTTTTTTTTTGCATAGTTCATAATATGCAGGCATTTCAGGCACCAGTTGTTACTTCTCTTTATTTATACATTACTTGCTCAGTGCCTGTAATTATCTACACAAAACTCATGTTTGCTATAACGAGCACTTGGATTCAACGAGATTTTAGGTCAGGCCCGGTGACCTTGTTGAATCCGAGTTCCACTGTATAATAATAACAATAATAATAACTAAGATCATTTCTATAGCACCCACTCTCGTGTGAACACAGCTTTAGGCGCTTTACGTAAATGCATGTTTCGAACAATATTCACACATGCATATGCACACACACATACACACATACAAACACACGCACATTACACACACACATATATGCACACACATGCATGCCAAACACACATACACACACGCACGCAAACACACACACATATCTACTTGCTTGTCACGCGCTCATGCTTACACATCGTTACGAAATGAGCACATACGAATACAGTGGGTGTCGCATTCAACGAGGCTGCCGGGACCGGCTTGTTTTCCTCGTTGGATCCGACCTCTCGTTGAACGTGACTACGGCTAAAGTAAAGAAAGGAGACAAGTTATTATATTATAGGATGTTCCAATACCAGTAATTAAAACTAAAACAGTTATTCCCCCTGATGACGAAAATCTCAAACAACAGTGTGCGCATTTGAACTGAGTTCTGAAAGTCATTTCTGCATTTTTTAAAATATTTTTGTTTCCGGAACACTTCTCGTGTGGAAATATACCCTCTCACATCTAGGCTTAGATTTACATAAAGTAAAGACGGGAGCTTGGAGTTTGTGATCAGGGGAAGAAAAGAAAATTGAAAAAAATGAGGGTCTCGATCTAGAGGCTACCCATCCAGAGAGATGGAGAGAAAAGAGAACAATTCTTCGCTTTTGGAGCCGCTATATATTATTTTTATTTGGTTAGCGTGACCTCGTTGAAAGCGACTTTGGTCTGTTTGCAACCTCGTTGGAGCCGACATACATTTACAAAGAGGAAAAATCGGGGACTAAGGATTGCCTCATCGGAGCCGACTTCTCGTTGAATGTGACTTCGTTGAATGCGGCACCCACTGTACATAAATAAAATAATATGCACAATGCAATTCGCAAAATATATAAATGGATACCTAGTCATTTACATAACATTGTACTGAACACGAAGCTGCTATGAACACGAAGCTGCTATTATAGATGAAGATGTACCGTAGTCGTAACAGTCTCACACTGCTGGGATGAGAGGTCAAAATTAAAATAGTAACTGTTTTTAACATTGTCTCTGTAATGTTTACAAAATTGCTTTTACTTTTACTTTCATTTTCATGAGGGGGGGGGGGAATGGAGCAGGGAGGGGGCTCAGTAGCTCAACATGGTGTTCGCCTGTCAAGCAGGAGTTTGATCCCCACCAGCATCAGGTTTTTTTCTTATATTAATATGAATGTCTCCTACACTCCCTGACCCTAGGGTAGGTAAGATAGAAGAAAACTTTAGGGGGTCACATGTGTACATTTTTTGCTTGTTAAAGATTCCCTCCCCTCGACATCCTAAGGATACCAGAGGAAGGTAAAAGTAAGTAAAGACTCCCTTGACGGTCCTAAAGTTTTCATTGAAAAGAGTAAGCCCCTTAGGCCACTGTCGTGGCACAGCTAAAAATTTATTTCAACCCAAAAACTGAAACTACACCACTCAGTTTAGTTTAAATTATATCAAGAGTACCTACGAAAATGGTGTGTGATGGACTGTCTGTCAGACAAAGACTGATTCTATATTTTTTGTAGATAACATAACCATGTACATAGAATCAGACTATTCAGACCGCGCTGTGTAATGAAGATCTTCTTACTTACATGTGATCGCTTTTATCCCAGATTTCAGGGTTTCCAGAAAACTTGACCAACACCAAAAGTGAGCATTGCCCTACTGGAGAAGTTTGGATTCATTTGTATATATATTTGTTTTGATAATAAGTAATAGAGAAAACTTTCCTTGTCTTTTTTAAAGAAACTGAACAAGGGTCCAAAAACTGCACCATCAATATTCTCAAAGCAGCATTTTTCAGGATAGCCCCTTGTGCTTGAAAACGACCATGTACGGTATAGTCAGACCTCCCTGAGCTCTAGCAAAGGGGCATGTGAAGAAGGAGACCACCACGAGGATGGGCAATGGTAGGGAAAATACCCTGCGCTAACACTCTCAATCTCAATTAATATTCAGCTATTCACACTTGAACTAGAGCTAGCTTTTGTGAAATTAGACACGTCTTCTTAAAACAACCATTGCCTTGCCTTATATATTTTTATCTCTTAGTCAATAAAGTGTCCAAAGTCACACCACCAAACTCAACAATGGCTGTGAGAAATTTGACAAGAGAATTACAGTCAAACACAAGTAACTCGAATTCACCGGGGATTGGAAATATTGTTTGAGATTTCCGTAATTCTTCATGTCCGTGAAAGTCCCAAATACAAATTTTAAAAAAGAGAAAATCAAGGGAGGTAAAAAAAAGAACAATAAAATGTGGTTAGCTCCCTTGATTTGGAAAGTTTGAAACAAGAGGCTCTTGCAAAGAAGGGTTCTTATGTGTGCACAGCCGACTCCCAGTCATTTCTTTCCTCTCATTTCATTGGCTTACAGAAAGTTACGCATCTTGCCGTCTGCACCGCATGCGTCCCACAGCATGATTACACGCGTGGCGAGCCAGTCGTGCGGTGCGGTCAGCATCACTCCTCAACCCACTTTCGCCGTCCCCTCCTTCTCCAGCCTCTCATGGTAAGATCAGGACCACGTATTATACAATGGAACTCGGATTCAACGAGAGGAGATAGATTCCCCGTTTTTTTCCTTCTTTAAAATCAATGAAAATAACCCGGATTCAACGAGCACTTAAATCAGCGAGCTCGGATTCAAGGAGGTTGCTTCCAGGGTGAACAGTCCCCACAGACGTGGCTTCGCTCATTTTTCTCCAAGAATGAACTTTATCTATTCCCGGAAACCATCCATTGCACCTGCATCGTGAACCATTATTCACTTCTTAGCCGATTGCATGCGACCAATCAGCGGTCTTCTTTAATATCAACACATGAGTTGTTAGTACGTGCACGTGTCTACTCTGGTGTGTGTCGGGGTCGGATGGGCGGCATGCACACGTGGTGACTGTATGTGCGTATCGGGGAGGGGGGGGGGGGACTAGCGTTGAACGCCGCAAAGATATTAACGCGTCACAGTATTTTTTTCCCCTCGGCAACTGATCATTATTACAATGATAAGCTAGTCTTGACGTAGATCTACGTAATGAATTGTGCGCTGGTCTATGGAATCAAAAGTTGCCGTATGCTTGGCTCTACACAGCAATACAACTTTTTGGTAAACAAGCGAGATCACACAGGCGTGTGCATTTGAACGAATTGGGGTTTTTTTTTTTTTACACAGCTCATAATATGGAGGCATTTCAGGCACTACTTGTGACTTCTCTTTATACTTTACTTGCTCAGTGCCTGTAATTATCTACACAAAACCTTGTGTTTGCTATAACGAAGACTCAGATTCAACGAGATTTTAGGTCAGGCCCGGCGACCTCGTTGAATCCGAGTTCCACCGTAATGTGCTGTGCTGTAACAATAACAAAGAAACACCTACTTGCAGCCAGAAATGGCTGTAAAGCTGGGTCTTGAGTTGAGAATGCGAAGTGGATTTGTTTGAGATTCGAGTGCCACAAGTATATTCGGGAACTCCATAAAGTCAATACAAAGAAAACACTGGGACTAAAACGGGACCCAGCATTATGTTCAAGATACCCTAGAAATCGTGATTTTCGTATTCGAGATTCGTGGACTTTACTGTAAAGCATCTTACTTGGATCCAGAGTTAGAATCATAGCAGACGGCACATGTCCATAGCTGCTCATCTCTCCTTTCCAGCGTCCACACCAGGGTCTTCCTGCTAACTGTCTCCATGAGGAGCTGGTTTGAGACACGCCTGACCACTCCTCAGAGTAAACTTTTTTTCCCTGTGCCCCGCATTTCTTTTATATTGTGCTGAGTGTGGGAGTCTGTCTCCTCTTGGTCGTGAAGGCTCTCCTTGCATCTGACGATCTCCATTGGCTATTGGTGGGTCAAGCAAGATTCAAAAAGCATACACGGGCAGGAAAACAATGATAAAAGAACAGCTGTTTGTACAGCATCTCTTCGGCATTTCATAGAAAACCAACAACAAACAAAATGGTTTGGCCACTCATTACAAATATGGGAAGATTTAAGAATACCGGACCACTCGTATTATTGCGCAAGAATGGGGGGGGGGGGAAGGGATTAGTATGGAAGGGGGGGGGAGCGGGGGGTTTAGGGGGGTCCCCCCGACTAACTGTTGTTAATGAATAGATCTAGGTCTGAGATTCTTCATAGAAAGAGATTAAAAACTGGGGAAAATCATGAATTCCTAAGGTTGTCGAGACATAGGCAAAAGTATTCCTAATCCGCTGGTCTGGTTTGTCAATCTTACCACAAATATCAGTACCTAATGTATTATATATATATAGATCTATATATATAATAATTATTAAGTAAGGCTAAATGTTTAAGTAAGCAGAACAGAGAATGAATACCGGTACTATCTAGCCTTGTTTTTCCAGGATTTCAGGACGGGTGGGCCTTGAGGAAACGCTTTTTACTGGTCACTTTTTATTGACAAATATACGACCAAAAGAGCGAAAAAATGTACCTCTGTTCAATAGGAAATGTTTTAGAGCGTTCAGCTTGCGCCACTTGCGGTGATGGTGTTCGCTTTCGCTTTTCTCCTTGTAAGTCCTAGCCCTAGATTCTAGATCTAGTCCTCAGCCGATTGTATGTAAACAAGATGTCTGTGAACTTTGACCCACTCTGTATCTGTAACCCAACCAAGGATAGTAGTAGGCCTGGCCTACATGTTATGTACTATCATTGCTGTAACTGTAACTTTATCAGTTTAATGTAATAGAAAGTTAGTTTAGTTAGGTTAAAGCTTAAGCAGTGTTTTTTTTTCATTTTCAAGCATCGTGTAATTTTGGATTCGCTTTTCACTTTTGCTTTTTCATGTAGTCTTACTTTTTATTTTAAAATAAGGAATAATCTTCTGTTGAGTGAGTAAGTGATGGGCAATAAATGTTCAAAATTTCAAATATATTCGAAGTGCATTTTATTATTAATATAGGTCTAGTATTACGCCTAACAATGGGTTCTGCGTACATATTAATTAAGTTAAACGTATCTTCTCTCAAGATCTCACACTCATAAATTTAAAAAAATCATGGTAAAATTATTCATTTCAAATTGAAATACTTTTTAGCTGCCCTGTAACTTTTCCAACTCACCTGTCACTAAGTGGTTGTTTCGGTATTTCTATTACATTGAATTTAATTTTTTTTTTTTTTTACATTCATAAAATTGCGAACAACCTGTATCTTGCTTGGGGCTTACCCTATTAGTCTATGGAACATGCATTTGAGTGCATGTACACGTATTCATCACTTATAAGAATACAGACAAAACTTGCTACGTCATTATATCACATCTGTATATAATCTTATATAATGATATATGGCTGACTGTAAATACACGGAGTACGTGTAAATATCGCACAGAGAAGGATCTGGCAGTAAATTAATACACGGTATACGTGTAAAGACCGCACAGAGAGAGCTGACAGTAAATACACGGTATACCGTGAGCTTGCAGCCCGGGTCGGTTTTAAGAGTGGGATACACGTATAGATCTTTTTCTGGCTGAAGGCCTAGATTTCTGGGCTCTTCTCAGTTGGTAACCAACGGCAAAATAGGTCTAATGGAAATCGTCACTTGTGCTGCTGCTTTGGATACCAGCACCAATGGACTTCGCACGTTGTGTCAAACGGGCAGTTTTGTGGTATACTTAAAGTTGCGCTGTTGTTGTTTTTCTTTTTAATCTTCTTTCAAGAAGAAGTAGAAGGCTCCCTAAACCAGTGGTTCTTATCCTTCCCAGAAGGCCGATATTTACTAGCAACTAGTAAGTCGTGTGTGCGTGTGTGTGTGTGTGTGTGTGTGTGTGTGTGTGTGTGTGTGTGTGTGTGTGTGTGTGTGTGTGTGTGTTTGAGAGAGAGAGAGAGAGAGAGAGAGAGAGAGAGAGAGAGAGAGAGAGAGAGAGACGGATTGGGGGGGGGGGGGGGGAGGTTGCAAGCGCCCACTGACGGTTATGCTGACAATAATTAATACGCTTGTAATCGTAACGTGTAAATCTGCGACAATCTTATCAACTTGCACTCTCACTGCGCTGATTAAGTTCTGTATTCCTAGTAAAACTATCACTGTTTGCCATATTTTTAATTCTCACAATGTAGGCCTACAATGTCCGTTATACACGAACCATGTTAGATCACTACTAAAACCTCTTGAAAAGTGAAAGCTATTATTATTATCGAAAAAAAACGTTTTACACAGGTACGCTTTAGATAAACAACTTTTAGATGGTAACAATTCTTACTGGGACTCCAACTCCAAGCAATTGGAAGTAAATATTTTCACTAATTATTAAGTTACATTACAGTCGAGAATACTTTTTTCAGCCCAGCATGTTATTTTGAAATGTTACTGTACTACCCGGTAGGGCCTATACATTTTCTCTCGGTGCACCATAATCTGTCCCCGTGGTTTTGTGCACCCCGCATAATTTGACATTTTTTTAAACATAATTTATAATTTTTTTTCCTTTACCATTCTTTGCTAAAATTAACAGAATCGCATAATTTCACATATTTGTGCTCAGTTTGTATAATTTCAGAAATTTTCATTGCATAAAACGACGGGGACAGCACAATACCCTTTGACTTTGACCTTGAGTGGAGGAGAAGCCGCAACGGACGTGGTTATTGCGTCGTGATGTCAAATACACAAGGACCATAGTAGAAGCTCGTTGATCTAAATAGGCCCACGCCTGCTCTTGCGCTTCCCTCACCGTATCATGAAAGTTTTCTTTAATCTTTGCTTGGTCACTCTTTACCATATTTTTTTTCTTTTCAAAACCGAATATATTTCCTGCCCCCCCCTTTGCACTCGCCAAATAGAACAATATGTGAGCCATATATGAAAGCACATGAAAGCTTTGAGATCATCTTCACGAAGAACTAGACCTGAAACAGACATCGTCGATCATGGTTCACTATTCATTTCTTTGTGAGGGTGCTCTAAAAGAAACAAACATATTAATATTACGGTACATATCGTATGCTTTCCCCGTCACCCACAATTCAAGTTGTATAAGTTGTTATTGGTCAACTGGCCATCTACGCCTACCTCTTTTGCCTTCTATTTTTTCAGTGAGAGCAAATGTTCAATGCGTTTATGTCGATTCGACTGTTGTAGAAACTGAATTAAAATTGGTGTCTTCCTAATACTTCGCATTACTCAACTTATTGTATGTCTTCTTTCACCATTGCCCCATTTCATTTCCTCGTTCTATTAACTAATCCTCAATGCTCTCCCAAGAAACCGCATCTTTTTGCTTTTTATCTATTTTCACATGAAATTGATGGACCTCGGGATACATGGCAAACTTTACAAATGGGTCAAGTTCTTTCTGTCGGATCGAAACATTGAAACCAAGGTAAACAATGCCCACTCGTCAAGAGAAGTACTCGAGGAAGGCTTACCTCAAGGTTCCTGTCTGAGTTGCACTTTGTTCCTGGTCTTCTTTAATGATGTAACGAACGTGCTGAAATCAGAAAAGACTCTTTATGCCGATGATCTTGCTCTCTGGCAGACACATCACAGCACGATAGTAGGAGCAGGGAAATTAAATGAAGACCTCAAGAGGCTCCATAATTACTGTCAGAAATGGAAACTTAAAATAAACTGCACGAAAACAGTATACACCATCTTCACGAAGAGCCATAAAGCAGCCAAAGAAAATCTCAAACTAAAGATAGGAAATGAAAGTCTCCCCAAAGAAGAACATCCAACTTACCTAGGAATCAAACTTGACCATAGGCTAACCATGAAAAGCCAAGTGGAGAACATAAGGAACAAGGCTAAAAAAAGACTCCAACTTTAAAAAAAACTCGCAAGCAGTTCATGGGGATCAGACAAACAAACTTTGAGAGCTCTATACCTGGGTTATGTCCGATCTTCCCTGGAATACAGCAATAGCCTACTCACAATGTGCAGTACAACTACTTGCAACACCCTTGACAAGGTCCAAAACAATGCCCTTCGTTTTATAAATGGCGGCATGAGATCCACATCTACCGCCGCGTGCGAAATCCTTGCAAATGTTGAACCCCTGGGAATCCGCAGAGATAGAGCAGTTTTGGAGCTACATGAAAGAACTAAAAGAATGTGCCCCAACCACCCAAACAGGAAATTAGTAGAAACATGGAAACCAAAGAAACGAATTCAACAAAAGTCAATCATGCATAACATCATAGAACTAATGGAGAGCCACCATCTACCACAAAACAGAAAAGAAACCAAAAGAGTCAATCAAAACATCCCTCCCCACCTTTCTTTAAAAAAGCCAATCATTACAACATCTCTCAAAGACAAGAGCACAAAATCTTCAGACCCAGTGACGCTGATGCTTGCATCACATCAAACAATCGACAGCTATTCAGATGACTGGATACACGTCTATACGGACGGCTCAGCATTCAAAGGCACAACCAAGGCCGGATATGGAATACTAATACAGTACCCAGATGGAAGTTCCAATGAGATCTATGCAGCCTGTGGAGAGAAATGCAACAACTACGATGCAGAAATGATGGCAATTGAAACAGCACTGTACCATCTCCGCACAGTTTTTGACACTCACCCTGGAAAAGCACAGAAAATTGTGATTTTCACTGACTCACTATCAGTATTACAAGCCATAGAAAATGACCATCATCTAAGCCAAGATTTGACCCATATACTGTTTGGATCCCATCATCTGATAACATTCTGTGGCATCAACCTAGTAATGCAGTGGGTCCCCGGACACTCAGACATACCTGGAAATGACAGAGCAGACACACTAGCCAAACGGGGATCTAGACAGGAACAACCCGACACTCCAGCTTCATACAACACTGCAAAACAAATCATCAAAACCAACAACAAACAAGATTGGATGAACAGATGGGCCCTGGGAAAGACAGGCAGAGCAGTTTTCAAACATATGACTACAATAAAAAGGAATGACAATATCAACCGCCTTCAGAGAAAGAAACAGACCACGATCTTCCGCCTACGAACAGAACATAATTTATACAGCTCAACTTCCACCTGAACAGTATAAACCCGGAACTTCCCCCAGTGTGTCCCTTGTGTGACTATGCATATGAGACTGTGGAGCATCCTTCTCCCTCCGAGACCTAACATAGACAACACACTCTATGGAACATTACAGCAACTGCAGCAGACCTGCACTTATCACTACATGGCATTGGACAGAAGGGCGAGAGCCCAGCTGTTGCTGGATCGATAACAACAACAACAACAACATCTATTTTCACTATCTTATAAAAAGATACTGATTATAATTATTATTGAGTGATATTCTAAATAACGCACGCAAAAAAAAAATCATCCGTACCGTAGCTCTGGACCGGCAGCGTGTTGCCCGAACTCTGACCCCGGGGTCACGCTGACCTCACGGCACGTGCGCTCACGAACTAAAGTATCTCGAATGTGACGCAGTATGGATATTTATCGATCAGAGTGTACGGGTGTCAAACACCCAGTCACTCGATAGGCTATATGACATGTAATGTGTCACTGGGGATAGGGTTAAAAATGTATAAGTAAAAAATGGCAAACACCGTTGTTTGGTTTTGTTTTTTTCTTGTTTTCTCGAGTGACTTCCCCTTACCCGCTTCCCCAGAACAGCCGAAGCTACAGCAAAGGCGGGAAGAGAAAAACGAAAGTAGCCATTGTCGTCAGCGTTCGGTGACGCACAAGAATCAACCGTTGAATCTGACATACAAGACTATTTTGCGTGTTTTTATGCTACCCTGTTAAATATTTTTGTGAAATTGCGGTGTTTACTTTGGATTCCTGGAACAAGAGTGTGATGTGTGAACAAACTTCGAGAGATGGGTCATTTCTATGGTTTTAGATATTTAGTTTTTGTGCTTAGTGAGGACACTTGGGATGTCGTCATGCAGCCGTACAAGACTGCTGGCGTGCCAGAAATTAAATTGTCCTAAGAGCAAGCTTTATTAAAGTCATGTGCTTCTCTTTACTCACACCTCACACAAATAAACAAACATGTCCTTGTTTATCTGTCTAACCCAGAAGTAGGCCTATACATTAAAATTTTGTTCTTTGTTGGCATGAATGCCTTTTTCCTATTCATCGTGTCATCATTGTTATGTACAAGTAATGTTTATCATAATTGCTAATATTAATATCAATACGTTTTCAACATATAGTTCACACATGCATGATTCATTTAGGGAAAAAAAATATGCCCAATTATTGATCAGTAGTGCACATATTTGTTCTTTGTAGTGCATGATTTTACCTTTTTGAACTTTTTCCTGTATGTTTTGTCACCACTGTTATGTACGAGTACTGTTTGTCATAATTAATAGCATAATTGTTATTGTCCACTGTCTTTGATTTGACCTGATATCTGTTTCAAAGCAAAAGAGACCTGTCCTGGGTTGTTGGGGTTTTTTACTCTTAAAGTACACATTTCTCTCTGGAGGCATGACTTTGTCTTTTCCTGTACATTGTGTCATCATTGTTATGTACAAGTCATTTTTGTCATCACTGTCAGCCCCGCTGATTTTGTGCTTTTGCCTCTTATTAGTATTAGTTTAAAATTGTTTTGCAAATGTGTTTTTCTGGCATTGAGGCTTTGATGACTGTATTTGTACAGCCTTTCACTATTTATTGTGATGTGTTGTGAATGATAATATCCAATGTGTATCATTTCTTGTGCATAACAATGATGACATGTTCTGTGCTCTGCGTCATTGTTACAATGCTTGTCATTTATATTACCGTATATGAATGAAGTTCATAGTGTATAAAGTATAAAGTCTTTGTTTACTAAACAAATGGAATATATTAAAGTCTATAATTTGCCTTGCGGCTTATCCGTTTTTGTCATCACTGTTACATACAAGAAATACAGTGGTTGCCAAACCAATAAACCCATATCTCCAAAACCCTACGTCTCCTTACTCTAATACTCCAGGAATATGAGCACTAAAAGTCAATCTGTGACTGACAGAAAAGGGAGTCAAATTGGTAAGAAAACATTTTTGGTTTGGCACCACTGAGTCTCAAGAGTCTCACGTTGTGGCAATTGCTCATAAACAACACCAAGGAAAGTTTTCAGTGATCAGCTAGAGCAAGAGCTTGTCAACTATGCCTTTAAAGCTTCTAAAATATTTCAAGGTCTAACAATAGCATTAGGCTGTTTGTTAATTTCTGTGGTTGTTTATGCGCTGTTCTAATTTCGGTTTCATTCGGTTGGGAAAACTTTTTTTACGTTTTTGCACTCCGTGTGGCTACAAATGATCTTCTGGACTCTTCACAAGAAATTTTGGTGCTTTAGATTAAGTTACCTCTATCAACATATTGCTATAAACGTCGTCACAGAGATTTAAAAGCTTGAAAATTAATGGCAACTTTTATGGCAACGTTTGTCATTTTTTGGGCAACTTTTGGACAAAAAAATGACAACAAACGCAGATGCTAGCTTTTTCTCGTTTAGTATTTAGCTCTCTAGAAATGTAGCTTATTTGTTAGCCTAGGCTTGATGTTCTAATTTCCGATGACAACATTTTATTATAAACATTTACATATGACAGAGAATGAGTATTATAAGATGTCTATTTTCTTTTTAAAAGCGATTTATAAATTCCTAAGAAAAAAATACATTGTGAGGCATCATGGTGAAATCAGGCACTCCTCATAATAATGAAAGCAGAGATATCGCCATGTTTCCGCCAGTTTCACTAATTTTTTAAAGAATTTTTGTTTATTTGGTTCAACATGTCTATTTAAAATAAAAACATATTGCCATTTTCTTGATAATTTTACCTCTGAAAACAGGCGACCCCCACCTCCTTCAATTGCAAATATCTCGACTTCTATTCAAGATAGATGTATTTTTTCCCATCGAAAGGTAGTCAGTTGAATAAGCTTTATGATGATGCCAATAACTCAATAACTCCACATACCCAAAAATTGAGGAGCGCCTGATTCCAACGCGTCACGACACACATGTACTAGAAGTAGACGTGCAGACTTTTGACGCATATCCTAGAACATGACTCTGGCCATATAGCTAGCACAAGTTTTAGAAGCATAATAGTAGTTAAAACTGTCCATTACAGTCACTCAAGGTCACGGAGAAAAGTGACCGTTATAGAGTGGTCAGTACAGTGAACTCTTCGGTTAAGTTTTTTTATTTATGGCCCCAGAACTTCCTCTTGTTTACAGATCCCAACGGTTACGTTGAACTTCGGATGATTCTATTCTTTTTTTAACCCCCCTAACGACATCAACTCATCCGAGGTCAACTGTAGTAACAGGGTCCAAGTTATGGTCACTTACTGGACTTGACAAATTCCCCAGATGGTTTCAAATCTGAATCTTACGATGCTTGCAACAACAAAAAAGGTCTTATAAGTACCAAAGATTAGACGTTTAACATGAGAGTAACATACAAAGAAAAGAAAAAAGGAAAAAAAGGAGCAAACCACACAGAAAACTCGCCACAGACCCACCGTAACCTGGTAATTGGAAGATTGTGACAAAACAGTCTAGCTTAGTTTTAGTAAGAGTTTTAGTCATACTCACAACACAATTAGGCCATTTTAGTGTCAAAGACCGGAGGCGTAACATGAGAGTAACAAACACAATAAAGAAGGAAGGGGGATAAGGACAATAGGTGTTTGGTAGGAAAGAAAGAGCAAACCACACCTGAGCACCTGCAAACAGCTCACTGACAAAACACTAAAATTCAAAATCAAAGAAAACAAAGCACACAAAAGTAGTAGAGATATTTAATAAGGAGCAAAACATGATTTTGAGTCAATGATGTTCCAAATTGAGATAAAATGTGACAATTTTCAGAGTTTTTTTATTGAAAAAAAAAGGTTCTGGATGGAGAAAAATTTACACAATGAAGACGGATCACGGTTTTGAAATATATAAAAATAAAACAAACCCATAGTCGAGAGGTTGATCAAAACTAATCTCTCATACTAGTCACTGGTAACGGTAATCTGGAACCATTTTAAAGAAGGTTGAAAATAAATTCTTTCTCAGATCCACCAAACTATAAAATCAGTTCTTGCGGTAATCTGCACATTCATGATAACTGTACAAATGCAGGTAAACTAAAAGCAAACATGTTTTTCCACAATCAATTTAAAAATAAAAGATTCTCAAGCTCAGAATTGGTCACATTTGAGAATGTGAAATCATCTGAAGATTTACAATGTTGCATTTGCAAAAAGAAAATATTAAACAGACACAACTAATATCGGGTTTAAATAGAAAACAAAGGCTTGGAAAAACAACCAGTTCTTTTGAAAATAATTTTGTTTTAAAATGGCATAATGGCATCTTTGATTAGATCAAGAGATGATGTTAAAAACTAAAAATAAAAGATGTCAGTAATACATATGTGGAGAATCTAGCAGGTAAAATTTTGGTTCTTTCAAACACATTTCAATGGCACAGAAACAAAGAAATTGTTCATTCATAAGCTGAGTATAATTTACCCTGACTGATCCAATAAAACACTGAGGAAACACAGCATTCATCCACCTCAAAGGAATCAGTTAAGTGTACAGGTTATCAAAAAAGTATCTCATACTGTACACATTTCATGACTCAGGAAAATGTCTTGACGCATATCCTAGAACACGACTCTGGCCATGTACCTAGGGTAAGTCTTAGAAACAGACATGCAGCTGAAACTTCCCATAATAAGCCACTCAAGGTCACAGAGAAAAGTGAACGTTATGGACAGGTGGTCACTATAATATCAGTGTACAATGCTACCAGCTGTTCAGAATCCCTCTATGGAATGTGAATATGAGAATATCTCATCCTTTATCAGCTGTATTCAACCTTTTTAAAATCCCAATATAGACAATCTGTTGACTACAAGAAAATAGTTTTTAAGAAGGGCAAGAAATTCGTTATTTTCTTCCACTTGAAAGTAATTCTCTGTACCTTGAGATTTGGGTTTAGCTACCCAACTTCCAAGCCATGAGTTAGTCATCAAAAAATTAAATTATCCAAGTTCTTCCCCCTTTCATTTTCACACAAACAACGGCTTTTTTACATTATGTGACAGAAACATAAAGAAGATCTTTGTGGGAATAAAACTGAGAGAGTTATCAAAAGAGATAAGTTTGTGTCACAAATAGCCAAAACATAAGGTAGGGTTGTAAAGTATAACAACCAGATGAAGTGAATAAACATTCTCTACTTTGGCACCTGTTGTAAATTCAACTCAGATTTGACTCTTGAAGCCAAATTGAACATGCTGAAACCTCATTATTCATTAACACAGAAAATCAAGTATTTAGAGGCGACAATATATACAACTCCTTTGAAGAAGTGAATAATCTATAGCTTACTGTTCAGGTAAACAGAAATGTAAGCTGTTCAAAACGCAAACAATTACAAATTAAAAGTTGAGGTAACTACGGGACCCGTACAGATACTATGCCTCAACAAATTAAGTGATATATGGAATTGTAGAAAGTAGTATTCTGATTCTAATTCTAAAAAAATATAATAAAAAAAAAAAAGGGTTAGTGGCAAGAGACAACAAGAAAATCCTCTTGCTGGTATGCCATGGCTGAGTCCCTCACACTCACTCCATGATCACATCTCCGTATGCACAGTCTGTCTCCACACCCAGGGTGTATGATCCGTCCTTGTAGGTGCTGGTAACAAGACGAAGCCAACCTTCCTCTCCCTGGAAATGAAATTGTTTATTTGATTTTATAAGTCGAAAAATTATAGATGGGCAAGCAAAACGTTTTCCCACATCTTAAGAATAAGTTAAACAGTAAATGCCGGGATAACATGGTTGTAGGCTGGCATTAAAATTTGCATGCAGAGCATAACCCCTTCATTGCTAAGGGGTGCGCATTCCCACGGTCAGCACTGATTCTGATTTTCATCTAAGCTCCTTAACCATGACAGCTGTCTCATGTTTCAGTTTTGGTAGACTGTCTAGATATCTAGCCCACACAAGACATTTCGGACCCCAGATCTTTGATAGCGTTACTTTCCTCATTCACCACATTCCTCTTCTTATCCATAATCTTAAAAAGCAAACAAAAAAACTTGTAAATCTAAGTCAAATAGCGAAACTGCCATTTTAAAGTCATTTTGGTATATGTTTTCAGAAAGCACGTGGTCATCCACAAGACCAGACCTGTATTTATGAATTGCTTTCAAGGCTAGCAGTAAACTAAGAGAAGCAAACTTGATACCGAATATTAGACCTGCATGTGAGAGCCTCAACCAGACTGTCTGAAAATTTTGTGGGTGTCATATAAGGAAGGGCTTCCGAGTAACGAGCGAACTCCCCAACACAAACACAATAAAGAAGATACTTAACTCTACCCCAAAAAAGAACCTGCAACAGCCTTCATGTGAAATAAAAGCCAGCACAAGTACAAATGAAAAAAAACAAACACACCCAAAAACAATTGCGAAGTAATAGGGTTTGATTAAGTTTGATACAATAACATAACAGAATTGGAATATGATAGTACTCTAAATAAATCTACATCTAGAATCTAGATCTAGTAGAACAAGTGAATAAGAATAAGGCCTTGAACGAGAAATTCGCATCCGATTCCAAACAGAGGGACTCAGTTGAGTCTAATAGATCTACATAATTTACGCACCAGATGAAATGCTCTTTCACCAAAATTAATATTACAGCACAACCTATAATAGGGTTTGACACAATAGAATTGGAATATAAATCCTCCATTGAGGTCTATAATGATCTATATAAATCTAGATTTAGGTCTAGATTCTCGACTTAGAACAAGTGAGTAGGACTTGAAAGAATCCACATCCGAACAATAATTCGTCAACAGACGAATTTCAAAACGGCCACTCGATAGCATCGGTCGGCTCGCGGGTCGGGTTGCGATTGTCGGCACACATGTAGGTCTAAATATATGCACATTTTTTTAAATTTCCAAATATGAATCTCCACTGTGCTTGTGGCTAAATCTTAGAAGAAAAATAACCATATGATTAGCAGGACCCATGTCATGTCTTACAGGCAACTATGAACAGCAAATACAGCAATACTGCCAACTGGCATGACATCCATGGTATGGCACAAAGCTAAAAATCACTCATTTTCATGATGTAGGGGTATGACATTAAGACAACAAAGGGTTCAATACAATAACAATAGTGCATCTGACAACACACTCTAGTGGGCGAACACAGTAATAAATGCAAATAGAAAATGTACATTTCAAACTTAATCATAGGGATCTGTACTGTAAAGAAGAGGTGCTGAGACTTGAGAAATTGAACAACTTAACCGAAGATCAACTCAAGCTAGTCAACAAACTGAGTTGACTGTATTTGTATCTTTAAAAATCCATTTGTGTCACCACATGGTGGAATCAGGCACTCGTCAATTTTGGGCATGTGGAGTTATTGTTATCACCTTAAAGCTTGTCCATTTGTGTCTTTTTATAGAAAAAATACAGATATATCTTGAATAGAAGTCAAGGTATTTGCAATTGAAGGAGTGGTTTCAGAGGTAAAATTAGTGAGAAAATGGCCACGAACGTTTGGTGCCAAAGTTTGAGAGCTGTTGACAATTTTTGTGTTTTTACTCAACATTTTAAGTAAAATGTACAACTTTAAAAAAATTAATTAATTAAGATAAAAGGTGTTGAGCTAAAAGACAAAAATTCGACAAAAATTGTAAAACTGGCAGAAAAATGCCAACATCTTTGATTTCATTATTTTGACGAGCGTCCAATTTCACTATGATGCCCCACATTTAATTTCTGGTTGTTTTGACATATGTTTCCAACACCACTCTGTGAGAGTACAGTGTGAGCAAAATTATCGCTGCTATGGGAAATGGAGGCCAGTAAGAATTGACTGCTGAAAGAGTTAGGTAAACTACTCTGCCTTTTACCACTTACCCAGTATGTTCCCCAAGAATTACGAACAATCCAATACTCAACGCCATTCTCAACTCCCCAGCCTGCCACTGAGATAATGTGATTGATCTGGAAAGCAAAAGAAATTTTTAAAAAAAATTAATACTAATAATTCTCAATAAACAGACAATAACAACAAAGGGATAGAAAGTGGGTAACAGAGTAGCAATTTGATTTAAAAAGACAAACCTTGTTTTAAAAAGAGAGGAATGAAAGAATACACAAAAACTGATTTTCCTAAAGTGAAGTAAATTCTGGATATATATATATATTATATTACAACGGAAACCTGATATAACAGGGATGGTGGGAGTAGAGAAAATGTCCTGTTATATCCGACCCCTGTTAAATCAGAAATGCAAAGGAAAGTAAGCATTTGTGGACTAAACCAGCTGTACTTATTCATGGGTAGTTTCCCTTGCCACAAGTACCCACGAACACGCGTTTTGGCACAAATTTTCTCATTGCCTCCTTAAACAACACCAGAAGAGCATCTGCATCGGGTAGTCTCATATTCTTTCGGTCCAGAGCAAACATTTCATAGGATTATGCTGCCACTATCTTCTCCCTATCCTTGATAATGGTGTGAATCGACCATTGTGGAATGTCGAACTGATGACAAATCTCTGCCAGTGGAGCTTGCTTTTTGTCAACAGCCAGGATTATTTCGTATTTTTGTCAATTGAAAGGCATTTTCTCTAGCACTTGACATCGTCGGTGACACATTATGCATGCGTGTTGCTAGGTTTCGGGCCTCATCGAGGTCTGCAGCACACTGCAGCCCACTCTCGCTCCACATGCAGCGTGTGCTTGCAGTGGCATGGCTTGCGTGGGCTTGCTCCATCATTGCGTTACTCTCTCTCTCTTACTTTTTACTCATTGTTAACGAGCCTTTGTCCCTCCTGCTATAAACGGTTGGGCTCCGATGAGGCCCTGTTATTGCCGATAACTTTTAATAGAGACAAAGAGTAGGAAAAAACGGGGATTTTAAAAATCCCTGTTATTACCGGATCCCTGTTATATATGGTTTCCACTGTACTTAGTTTAGTTTTAGTAGAGGTTTTACGGAGCTTGCAACTGCATATGGTCATATGAGCGCCAGAAGATTAGATGTTTGTTTTTGTAAAGTGTTTTACGGCGCTCGCAACTGTGTAAGGTCATATGAGCGCGCAGGACACACCTAATATTTTCAGTTGGTAGGAAATTTTGAATTTTGCCCGGGTGGCGGCCGAAGCTTACTCTTATCGATATTAGACCACCAAGGGATCTTTAACGTGCACAACTTGCACACGAGACCTCCGAGATTTTTCGCCCTTGTCCGAGAAGGCTAGGTGTAGATCTTTCCTACCAGAAGATCAGGGATGTGGCTAAAAGACAGCAGAAAGAAGAAGCGAAGGAGTAACAGTAGAAAGGCTACAGAAAGAATCAGGAGCCCAGAAGAAGGGGCAAAGGAGGTGAGGGGGTGGGGGCAGAAAGAGGAGACGAAAGCAGACGACAAAACATTGCTAGAGAGCAGGAAATGAGGTGAAAGGAGACAAATTTAGAGAAGAAGAATTTTTCGGTCGCTACCCGGGTTCGAACCCGGGACCCTTTGAATGAGAGGCCAACACCTTAACCTCTAGGCCACGAGAGCCCCCCAGAAGATTAGAGGTGTTACAAGAGAGTAACAAACATAAAAAAGAAGAAGGATATATCCCACTGGATATATAAATTATGATTCTATGATAAATGAAAAGTAATGTTAAAATCTGGGACGGTGAATTTCTTACCGCAGGATAGTCCAAATGCTCAGCATAAATGCCACCTGTATACTTCTCCAGGGTGTCGGTGGCTTCAATTCCACAACTGAAAGAGAAAGAACAAAAATGATTTAGAGTCAGTTGAATTCATTTTGTAACAACACTACATGAGATACTTTGAAAAAGAGTTCATCATCTCGCAACACCGAAGGTCCATAACATCAATATGGAGAAAGAACTCTCAAAATGCAAGGCAAGTTTTGAACACATAATCTGCCAAGAATAACACTTTATGATAACGAAAAGACTATTCGGACCTAATAGACAAAAATTACATTCGGATTCTGAATTGAGTCCAGCATGACGTCTGTTCCGACTTCCGACCCTATTTCCTAAATATTTCCTGCATTTATGAAAATGGTTTTCCATTATAATGATTACAATCGAGACGTGAGTTTTAATATCCAGTTACTATATCTATCCTAATGATCCCTGCATCATTAAATGAACAGAACAACCAAATTGAGTTGACCTTGCTGGGGGCAAAGTTAATTATGTTGACCAATGAGACTGCGCATAGCAATCACGCACTCTCGACTTGCTGGGGGAGGAGGTGATGGGAAGAGGCCACGGCTGTCGGTTTTGTGCAATGTGATTTAAAAAATAATTAATTACATAAAAACACACAACAAAATGAAATTACACATGTGGAAAGACAAATGGTGGTGGAAGTAATGATGATGCTATAGTGGTGGTGGAAAGACCCTGAGTTGTCGGTCACCGTGTACTTAGGCACTGCCATTGGGTAACGAGAGTGCACTCTTTTGACTTGCGACACAATTACATACTCCTAATACGAGGGCTGTCCCACGGAAAACCATAATTTCGCTGTAATTTGAAAACTATTCAATATTTCCACATTCTGTAAACGCATAATTGTAAAACAATCATTTAGAAATTTCCTGATTGAGCACCATAAGAATCGCACGAATCAAATGAACACACCAGTTCTCCAAGCCTTTTGGAAAATTGATCATGGGCAGAAGTCAGGTCAGTCATTCGGTTTCTGACCGCAAAAGGTCTCAAACCTATAGAAATACACACTGAAATAAAGTCAGTTTACGGGGAGAAAGTAATGGCAAAGTCACAGGTATGTGAGTGGTGTAGTAAGTTCAAAGCCGCGCATACGGATGTCAATGACAAAGTTCACCCAGGACCTTGTTTTTCTGCAAAGACTGAGGCAAACAAGAGTTGCATTAACGAACTCATTCAAACAGACAGGCACCTTAAAATTCGCCAAATTTTCGAGTTGCTAAACATTTCAAAGTCGACTGACCATAGGATAATGTTTGATGAGCTGCACAATCGAAAGGTCTCAGATTTACAAATTTACTCAAATTCCCCGGGCATTCCCAGGTCTCTGCGATTTTTTTCAAATTCCCGGGGCTTGGCAGTCACCCTGTAAAAAGTCCGTCATACATCTCTTTTCAAAATGGCGAATGGTATAATAAGTAGCCAAGAAAAGGACTGCAACGGAAATGAAATGAGAAAGATTGTCACCTGATGGGTCCGTTTTTATAAATCTCAGCCTTCATAGCATCCCTGCCACTCACAGGACCATACTCTGAGATCTTCCATCTCTTGAAATTGGGCACCAAAGAGCAGGCCCCACCATAACTGCATGTCTTGCACGTGTTCTCAGGGGAGCATTCTGAAAAAGATCCCATTGGTTCATGACAAAATAGTGAAAACACTCAGAGGAATTTTTTTTAACTTGCTCTGGATAACATTGTACTAAGTTGAAATATTTTAATTTAGAAGAGTTTTAATAGTGATAAAAGCTATTAAAATCAATAGAAATCTTCATCAGGATTCACTTCCGACCACGCGTTTTTTCTGTCATAATGACTGTACAAGACAACCCGTCTAAGACAATCAATGTTCTCAACAATGGAAGGTCGTCTTGAAAAATTTGGCTAGTAGTTCTTTCATCAATAAAAATTTTACAGTGATGGTCTGTAGTTTCAGTGCAACTCCTTACAATTTGTTATCTCAGTTCTGTCTAAAATTCTAGCTGTGAAACCCCCCAAAACACTATTTATGTCAAACCAAGTTTTAAAAAAGACAAATTTCAAACTTTTCAAATTCAAAACTGATCCAGCATCGCTATCTGAGGGCAATGCATTGAATCAGACAAAAGTCAAGGTTTTTTTTCTCCCTTTTATTTGTATGTTACACTACACCAGTCTCGCCCAAAACCTTCTTATGTCAAAGACAAGAAGATGAGTCTACATTCTAATAAGTTTTCACAATGGTTAAGATACATAAGTGAAATGTCTGCCCACCGTGGCAGAATTGTTCTATACTTAGTATGAGATTGTGTACAAAGAGGTCTTTTGGAAGCATGGGCTAAAAATTCGTATTCCTAGAAGGCTGAGAAATGTTTCTAAGTGATCTAAGGTCTGCTAGGGTAAAAGATCATGTAAAGCCCAAAGAGAGCTTGCTGTTGAACCTGGACATGTGCTTTACAAATAGCCACCATAGAATAACAAAGTTCTATCTGTTCAGTACCCAGTTTTGAGAAATTTGACCTAAAAGTATTTGAGTTTCACTATATCCCAATCTTTTTTTTAAGCAATTCTTTAAATATCTTTATAACGACTCCAGATAATCTTCTGATTTTGAAAAAGCAGACAGAACATTTGGTTTCTCACCTTATGATCTTAGTAACTGAAGATGGCAAAAAATGTCAGAAATAAAACTGTAATTCTAAGGTAGCGAAATGATATTTATCATTCATAATAAGAATCCTGCTATAGTTTGGATAAAACTTCCTGAACCAGAACTATGTGCATGTCATATGTCTTACCACCATCCTTAGCCTGGTAGTTGTTGCATGTTTCATCTGGGATTCCTGAAGTGCTCGCGTACTTCCAGACTCCCTTGTCGTCTCCCCCCTCACAGCTCCCAGCATTGGCACAGTCAATGACCTCCTGAACTGACAGATAAGCGCTGGGCCAGGCTCCCTTTCTCTTGATATTGATTCTGTCTGCCATCGCACTAGTGGAGCCCATAGCCCAGCATGAACCACAGTCTGAGGATTTAGAAATTTGGCCAATCAGCTCAATGGTACAAACTCTCCACTTCTCAAATACATTATCAAAAGTTCAAGAAACAGTACACAATTTAACTTAACACCCAGGGAACAAAATAATATTCCGAGAACTGTCTGATCACCAGTTTGAAGAAATTAAAATGGCGTCAAATTTTTAAAGCTGAAAAATAGAAAAGAAAAAAAAAGGCTGATGGTCTGGCATGTTCTAACCCTTTGAGCCCTTGCCACCAGTACACTGGTGGCGCATAAAACTGCCCATATATCTAGCCACCCATACAGTAGTGAGCAAGACCCCATCCCTAAAACGGCTCGCCTGGAACAAATCGTGCAAAGAAAACCGTGTTCACAACACAAGAAGTTAATTGTAATTTTGAAGATCTTTCAGAACAAGATGCTAGTAAAGATGAGGACTACCATGAGTGGGACATGGGATGTGATTCTGAAGATCACATGAATGTTAGTAATACATCGTTTAGGAACTCTGGCCGAGGGACAAGGTAGCATCAAGAGGACATGGCTCAAAGAGTTAATTTACATACTAATCTAGTTTGATATACCATTAACACACCCCATTCCTTTCATTTTCATTTTGTTCCAATACCATATATCCATTAACAATCTGTCTCTACCTTGCTACATTAGAGAGAAAAAAAAATTATTTACAGGGGAAATCTGGAAAATTTTTAAAAAATATATATTATAGGCTACTTACACTGGGGTATGTGTTGATTCCGGGATGTGCTTGCGTAGTTAACACCGCTCACATTTCTCCAGTCAAACGCCTTGGGAAGACTGGAGAGAACTTTAAGACTCTCAAATGGCCTTGGCTTGGTCCTGAAACACAAGAAGTCATTTTAATGAAATGAAAGACTAAAAAACATTGACAGCCTTTCTGTTTCTTCAATTAGATTTTAAAAACACTAGCAAAAACAAGATCCAAAACTTTTCAAATGTTTTTGTTTCTGTGCAAGAACTATCAAACCTTTAGAACAGATGCCCATTTGTCAAATGCATAATCCGTTCAGATCAGGTAAAAATAGTGCTGGCCACTACAACAAGAACAGAATCAGATTAAAAATTGACCTCTGCTTAACGTCACCAAATTTGTCCTTAAAAGTCAATTATTAACTCGTAAAGGCCTGTTGTACTTCGCATCTATACAAACAAAAAGATCAGACCCTACAAAACTTACCGTAGCCTTCTCATTGGCTGCCCTGCCCTTAATTTCATCAGATCTGAACAATCTGGAGGGTTTCAAGGGGACATGACCCACTGGTATGTCCCAATGCACCCTTATAAACATCATAATTTGATATATTTCTATTTTTGGACTTGGGTATGAGATTTTCTATAGACCAAATATACAGCCGTTTAGCCCTGTAAATCAGTGAGTTTACATGTCGCAGGTGACTGAATTATAAAATCAAGACTACAAATCTGGAAGATTGCCCCTACCCTACCCGCTGCCCTAACCTGGCTTCATTTGAAATTGTAATCATTTAGAACAAACACGGTTTATATTATAATATAGGAAGTGGCTATTCTCACCTCAGGTGAGAATAATAATTGGCTGCGGATATATGGTACAATATTTATAACTCTAAACGGTTATTAGTACAATTATACCAATAACCAGACAGAGTTATTTGTAAAATTATTCTAATTTTGGGGGTTGTTGGTATAAATAAGCCTATATCTAGGCATGCAATTGGTTGTCCCCTGGGTAGAGCATCAAATATTAATATTAAGGCCCGGTTACATGTAACGATAAATTGTACAAAAACTGAACTATCTAGCGATCATACGATAAATCGTCAGGTGTAACTACAAAATTGTACAACATTTGGACGATCGAAAGATGGTTTGGAGATTCGATCGTGAAATCAAGCGTTGCTTGATATTTTTCGTGCGAACATGGTCAGATTTGGGGGAGACGTGCAGTGATGTAGATTCACTTTGAAATTTGCCGTTGCGCAGAATTCAACTCTGGGCTCAAAATTTTTTAGATCTTTATCGTATGTAAAAAACTGATTTCATATTCAGAATCAGCATCTCTAAATAAGCAAAGTCGTTCGCGAAGAACCTGATTTGGTGTGTTGTGTATATTTTAGCAATTTTATTATTTAGTGGAACGTCAATGGTGAAGAGCATCAAGGTCACTCGGTGCGTTGCACATCTGCAGTCAGGTCAAAGTTTCTCTTTCTACACACAACACGTAACAGTATGGCCAACTTTTTCTAAAGACACTGTTCTGCTATATATATCAAAATGTACAGGGGAGGGGTGGGCTCTCATGAACTAGAGGTACAGTGTTCGCCTTTCATTCATTAGGTCCAGAGCTCGAAACCCACGCTTCCCAGGCAAATTGCTGTCTTCGCAAAGAGAACATGGTGGCTTTATTGTGACTCAGAATCTCCTCGATAAAAAAAACCGGAAGATAGATTGGAACGTGTAAACAGACAACACAGTTCGATAAAACGGCCAGTCCTCCCATACGACGAATCTGATACAATTTATTGTGGCGTGTAAGCAGAGCTTTTGGTGTTGTTTTAATTTATATTAACCCCTGTAACTCTGTGCAATGACTTCAATTTTTCTTGTCTAAAAAAGAGTTCTTTATTACAAACAAAAAGGCCCCCCCCCCCCTCCCATCACACACGCACACACACACACCTTTTCCACCCCCAAAACACTCCATCAAAGCCATTTTAACATTCCATTGTTGTTGTTTTTCTATCATTGTTCAATGTTATTGTTGACTTAAGAGAACCGCGTTGGTCTATAAGCTTGCTTTCCTCTGTAAGGTCTTTAATAACGTAATGAACAGTAGACCTATTATCTTACTGTGATATGATTTTTGACTATACCAAACTCCCTCTCATCAAATGAGTTAAAACTGAATCTCTTCGGTGTTATGAAGACTTAGATTTAAATTATTTTTTTTTAACAGAACGGGGAGGGGGAGGGAAGGGAGTACGATGACGTAGGTTAACGTCACATCCGCTCGCATTGGCCGTCGACCTTTGCCTAGTAAAGTCAGCCTACAAATTTACATCACCAAAGCCCGCCCCCCTCCTCCCCCCCCTCTCTCTCTTGGGGCGCCCGCGCTTGCTCTCTTTCTCGCTCGCTTGTCCTCTCTCTCCCCTCTCTCTCCCTCTCTGTCTTTCTCTTTCTTTCTCCGTGCCCCCTCCCCCCCTCTCTCTCTTTCTCTCCCCCTCCCTCTCTGTCTTTCTCTTTCTTTCTCCGTGCCCCCTCCCCCCCTCTCTTTCTCTCCCCCTCCCTTTTTTTCAATTAAAATAGATAATCTAGCGTTGTCAATTAGTTATAAATGTTTGGAAATTAAATTAATGTACTATGGAAGAAGAACAGCTAATGAATTGTTTTGAAACCGAGTCAGCTAATGAATCGTTTTGAAACCGAGTCAGCTAATGAATCGTTTTGAAACTGAGTCTGCTAATGAATTGATGCTACCTTAAAAAAATGGTAGCGTCAATTGCCACCGAGTGACGCGGTGGCAATTGACAAAAATTGACTTTTTGTCAATTGCCATCGAGTGAAGCGGTGTCAAGTCTGAAAACAACACTGTCTTTAGCATTATATGTATAATGTGTGTCTAATGGGTCAATTTGTTTTCAACTAATTTCATTGGACGAGCATCTAATCTAGAGCTATGGTACCAACTTGGCGTGTTTTCAATGAGACGTAGGCCTAGATCTAAGCTAGACTTAGCCTACACTTTGGTGTAGAACCAACACAGGCAATTCTAGAAGTAGAAGGTCACAAACGCACACAAACTCAAGCAGAAATTCACGTTATATCGGGGAACATAAATCGGGGGACGGGGGTCAGGAAAACACACACGGAGGGACAGAGAAGCGAACGCACAACACCTAGCACTCGAGCACAATAAGCTAGATCTACCCGCCAACGCAAAAGAGCTCCAATTTACTCGGTGGCAATTGACAAAAAGTCAATTTTTGTCAATTGCCACCGCGTCACTCGGTGGCAATTGACACTACCTAAAAAAAATAGGCCTACTGAATTGTTATAAATTTTTAGTGTGCAGTACCTAAAGTATTTGAGAGTGCATGTATTTTAAACCTCCTGTTTTCTAATGTTAATAATAGGATAGGGCCTAAGATTTATAAGTACGGCTAGACTGGCAGTCTAGCCGTACTTAAGTGTCTTAAGTACGGGCTAGACTTCTTGGCTAGCCGTACTTAAGAACGGGTAGACAGCCAGGCTAGCCGTACTTAAGGCAGGACGGCTAGACTGTCAGGCTAGCCGTACTTAATATTGATGGCTGAAGTGTAAATGAAATTTTTTGTTTGCAATGCCTAAAGTATTTGTATTTCAGACAAGAAAGTGGCTATTCTCACCTGCCCGGAAGTTCTCGCAAGATCAACTCCTCCCCTCTTCTCTCTCTCTCTCTCTTTCTGAATACTGTCTATCGGTGTGGACGATCAAATTGACCAAAACAAAGTTAAAAAATGATGTTAAAACACAAAAGTAAATTAATTTGGTTGTCTACAAAGATGCTACGGCTATTTAACTTTTCGAATCGAGCCGAACTACGCGGGTCGCCATTTTGTTTTGCCCGGAAATTCTCGCGCTACTCCTCTCTCTCTTTCTCTCTCTCTCTCCACTGCCCACAGACAAAATTGTACGCTTTTAGTAGGCTACAGTTGTAATGGAACGTTTGTTCACGGCACAGAATTCTACAATTTTTCTGTTATCACAGTGTAGAATTCTGTGGTTTAGGGTGAACGCAAAATTTGGTGAACGTGCACCGGGTGAGAATAGCCACAAGACTCGCTTGCACTATTCTCACTCCGGGTGAGAATAGAGGTGGCCTTCAGACAAAACCAAAAGGTGCCTTACTGACTTCCATGTATTTGAACCTGAATAATTACTAGATCTAGATCTAATGAGACCTGTGTACGTTAACAGGCTTGAGTCGATAGGGCCAAAACTAGATCTAAGTACGGCTAGACTGCTGGCAGTCTAGGCTAGCCGTTCTTAAGACAAGTACGGCTAGACTCTCAGTCTCAGTCTAGCTAGCCTAGCCACTTCGATATATATAATATAATACTTACTTAACATACTGCTTGGGGTCGGAAAAGTTGGTCATCTTGACGTAGCATGGATGAGAGTACCGACGTTCTGGCTCTGGTGCAGTTTCTCTACTTTTCTCCTTGTTAACCGTTTCTGACTCGAATAGAGCAGACTCTTCGATCGTCATAGTTTTCACAATCACACTGCATGACGCTCCATAGATGCAGAGCAGCAAAGAGATATAAACCAGCTTATGCATGGTGACAGTTTTCTGAAAGAATGTATTATATATATATATTTATCTGAGGGAGTGACTTCTTTCGGCAACGGGCACAGCGTCAACGGTGGAATCAGAAAGACACAACTTCAGTTCTTGGCTGTGACAAGAGGTGTGTATCCATTGAATAAGTCATGTGATTTTACAACATTGTTATTGTCAGATTTTCATCACTACCCAAACTCTATTCTTGATGTTCACACTTTTCTTTACTTTCATATTCTATGCACCAAATATGAACGTCAAAAATGGAAAAAATAATACAATTTATTATTAAAGTATTCTAGATTCTATATTTTGTTGAATTGAGAATAATATGCTTGAAAAGCTAAAATGTAAACATTCATTTCACTTTTTTAAAATGACAAATTGGCAAAGTAATTGTGTACACCGGAGGTAGTCACGTGACTTTGCTTTGTTGTGTAGGTCAGAAAAAGAGAAAGACTATACTATTAAATAATAGCTTCTACTTTTATCACGAGATTGACGTGTCATGGTCACGCGGAGTTGTGGCATTGCAAATTGTTATAATGCTATGAAGGCCTAATTGTTTTCATAGCTATTTCACGCGCCTATTACCCGATTGAACTAGATTATAAAGGAGGCGGGCTGCTTCGACACTGCCTCCTATCGGACGCGTCGCACGCATTGGAGACCCTTCTGTACTAGTATTTAAAGTTAGATAGATCATATATATATAATATATATATATATATATAGAATCTTCGATTTCTGAGTGGGGAGAAAGGTTATCAAGTTTCTATTATAATAATTTAGCCTTGGTCTTTCTACAAGAATGTCGATTCGGGGCGTAAAAAAAAAAGAAACAAACATAGGCCTACGGCCTGGGCTATGGAACCTTAAACTTAAAATAATTTTTTGAAACACTTGACAGGGACAACGTACCCCGCTCTCCGACTCGGAGAAAAATACACCACACCCCTGGTCGTGGTGCTCCTGACTGAAGTCTTTAGGCCATTCCCAAAGGGGGGGGGGGGGGATATTAATCTCGAGTTTTTTGCACAGTAGAGTTGTAAAATGGGCTGATTCATCGCAATGTCATTCATAATTGTGCCTGACCTGCTACAGTCTAGGGAACTGCTGCTTTTTCTTTCCTAATCTTTACTATCGTCATTTTTCCTCGATTTCTTTTGTTATCACGACTCTTGTCCCGCTATTTCCGGGGTGCCTTGATTAGTCGAAGCCACAGAATTCTACACTTAAGTGTAGAATTCTGTGGTCGAAGCAGATTTTGTGCAGCTGAAGCTAGAGAGGTGAGCAGAGATAAGGTTGACCTGATTCCCTATTCTAAGGGTTGACATCCACCCCATTGGCGCTCATATTATTACCTTATGCAATTGCCAGCGCCGTAAAACCTCTACTACAGCAAACAATTAAAGAGAAATACAAATTGTATTTGTAGGCTTTCCATGGCCCGTCCTGTCAGACAGAGATTCATGATGTATACCATGTATAACTACTTAAAATTTTTACTGACACGGAATTATGCTCTTCTATAATTTCCCAGTACATGTGTAATAATTCAAATTGGCCTCGATCCTCTCACAGAATCTAAAAAAGATCTTTTATGAATGCTAAGCCACCCCCCCCCC